GGACGGAGTCGTTTCTTTAGAACTTTGTCTGCAAAACAACAAACGTGTTCCTGTAACACCTCGACTCATACCATCATTACAAACTGTAGCTCTGACCACAGACATTCTTGTCCCCATATGTTTTTTGATTGAGTTTGGGGATTTTTGATTCCTTTATTCTAGAGATAGGACAGGGGACAGTCGGAAATTGGGGAGAGAGAGAGAGAGTACAGGGAATGACATGAAGGAAAGGAGCCACAGTTTGGATTTGAACCCAGATCAAATGCTTAGAAGACTACAGCTTCTGTACATGGGGCGCACGCACAAACCACTAGACCAGTGGTTCTCAACTGGTCTAGCCTCAGGACCCACCACCAGCTCCTTCATGAAAAGTCGCAACACAAATTTTGGATATTTTTCAACCAATCAGATTTTTTCAACGTGAAATAGTGCAGTTTGGACCTCTGACAGTACAGAATGTGACAATGAAACAAAACAAAACATGTTGAAGAAGCGCTTTAGAGACTTTTATGAGAATGTTTTTCCAGGCACATATTAGCGACCCACTTTTTGTTCCCGACCCACCAGCTAAGAAACGCTGCAGTAGACCACCTGCGTCCCATATGTCTTTTGTTTTCTGTACAACAAGAAGAAGGATGAGAAAGTATTGACATCTAATTGATCTGACATCTTCCTGTCCTATCCAGTGAGCATGCCAGCACACAAATACACACAGAGAGTCCCGAGAGGGATGACTTGTCAGCCTCATGCAGAGTTTATGAGGTCCAGGCAGCTTGGGTTCCCCCGAGGAGCACTAAAGTAGCTATAAAGATGTTAACAGATTGCCTGGTCCCCCCCTCCCCCATTCACACAGAAATAAGCATAAACATGTGGCACCAATCATGCTCTTACATATACATGACGCTCCCAGGGTTAGGACACAATGTATTATAAATATTGTTCTATTCATACTCTTCTTTTGTTTCAGGACAAAAAAAAACTATGACAATGTCAGATTTACTAGCAGTTTCACAATTTCTCCTTTAGTGAACAAGGAGGGAGTTCATACAATGAAATGAGTCAGTTTCTAAATTGGTCCAGCATTAAGTAAACAGTAACCCAACATGAAACATGGATATGAGTCTACAGCCATGCTAATGCTCAGTGTAGTGCTTTAAGCTAAATGCTAATATAAAAAAAGCAGGCTCAACATGTTACATTACCCGTGAGGTTTATTTAGCTGTTATGAGACTGAAATAAATAATACTGACACCTCTGAACTCTCTAATCTGTTTTAATAGAGTTTCCTTCTGATGATGGCAGCTATAAAACACAGTCTGAACACCAATCAATAAGATGTGGGGCCAAAATATGTTTCATTATTTATTATTAAAAATACACTTCTTTATTTGTATTATCTGTATAATAAAATAAAAAAGATGCTCATTCTAATATTTGTTTTCAGTGAAATCCTGCTTTTATTTATTACTTTACTTTATACTTGATTTCAGGTCCATAAATCATTATAAAAAAGCACAATAAATATAAATACAGGACATCAACAAAGAGGTATAAATATAATAATAATAATAATATAATCAGTACAGTTCACAGTTTGTCAGTAATTAAAATACAAAGGGACATTTGCACCAGTGTTTCCAGAAACAGGAGGAACACCTTGTGTCTCTTAGTGTGGGCTGAGTGAGCGACAGCATGATGACATTTTCTGAATCAATTAATTGACACAAACATTTAAATACATAAACGTTCTCAACACAGCATGAAATGTGGAAACATCATTAGAATCAAATATCTGACTTGCACTCATCCATCTGGGTCAAAGAAATATTCTAAATGTGTCATTAAATGCCACCTGTAGCTTTTTAGTTTCAGTTTGACTTTAAATGCACCACAAGTGAGCAGTGTACAGCGGAGTACAGAAAGCTCTAAAGAGTCTGTGCAAAACAGGGACAACAGATGGAAATTAGTTAGTTAGCTAAATCTGGTACAAAGCCTCTCTTCTCTTCTGAGACTAATGTTATTTTTTTGTTGTACGCTGTCCCTGATTCAAATAAACTAAACAATAGACATTTCCGTGCCAGCATATTAGCTTGAGCGTACAGTTTGCAGCACTGACACTGCACATCATCATCACTCAAGTCACTCCTCATATGTCCCAGATATTTGACTTGATCCACCACACTAACATTTAATCATTATTGTTCCCTGGCTGCAGGGTTTATTTGTATGATGTAATGACGTTATTGTCCCCGGCTGGCGAGACAGCGAGTAGTGTCTGAAAAAATCTACAATAAACTAAATCTACAAAAAACAATGAAGTGTTTTTATTGTGCCAAAGTAAAGTCCAGTCCAGAAAAGTCCCTGTGCTGAGAGTAGGCAGTAGGGAGTTGAGAATGAGTGTGTGATTACATACAAACACGACCTTAGTTCAGTGTGTGAGCATGCTGTGTTTCTTAGAAAAAACAAAAAAAACGAAGTACAGATAAGATGGACTGAAGGGTGTCAACAGTTTAGCAGGTTTGAAGTTTGAAACCAAAGGAAGGAAGATGATGCATGTTGATACAATTGTGTTCCATGAACCAGTGATTCATCCTGTGGGCGAAATTAATAACTGTACCAAAGTTCATGACTATTCATATAATAAAAGTCAAGAAAGGTCACTCAAACCTCTGTGACAACATCGTGGCTACAGTGGAGGTAAACTCAGTATCATCTGAGAGGTGTGAAAGTCTTTACAAAAATATGGACCAGATACTCCAGTAGATAAAACTGTACTGGTTCTTTTCAGGGCCAAAAAATCTTTCTTATGTAAACGTTCTGTAACTTTTTGTTTCAGTCCCTAATTTATAATCATGTTATTTAATGACTAGAAAACATTGCTGAGTTCTGGTTACCATTAGCAACATAGAACAGGTTTAATAGTTTCTATGAGATGAAAAGGCTGAATAGGTGGGAGTTACTAATGTCAAGCTGATCATTATGTGATTATATTAAGAGCTACACAGTGAAATATCATTCGTCTTTTTTTCTGTTTTTGAAATTCATGCAAACCCAAAATTTAGTTTGAGGTGAAAATGAGTCAGAATGTATTTGCATAGCTTTGGACAGAAGATAAAGACTGGGTTTGTAAAAGGATGCTATGTGCTAATGTGACAGATCACTAAAGTACACACTTTAAAGTCGAGTCTAACAAAACACAACGTGAAATCATGAAAATATAAATTTATTTTTGGTTTTGAACAACTGAGGAACATGTTTGATGAAACACAATGGAGCAGTGCCCTGTAATCATCCCCAGCAAACGTGATGAACTTAACTATGCAGTGGGCTAAGAAGAATAAATAAAAGCACCATGCATCCATGATTGTAAAGGCTGTCGCACAAAATCCAGTAAATGAGACAAACACAGAAAGAGTTTCACAATCTGCCATCTGTGAAAGGCTTGTAGTGGGAGTAGTTTATTTTCCAAGTTTCTCTCCTTCTACGCAACCCGACTGAGTTCTGTGTAATTGAATTAATTTCATTGCCGGTATGAGGCGAATGCATTTGGAGCTTTCAGTGGAAAGTAGAATAATGTGGGCAGAAGAAATGAGAACGGAAATGTTCATGAAAGACTTCCTGAGCCGGCTCTCTTCCAAAATGGCCTTTTTTATACTGCACTATGATACAAAATGTTTTTTATCTGCATGATTGACAACATGGCAGTGTGGGAATGAGACTCGCTCACTGAGGTCGGCTGTGGTCACTCAGCTGCGTGTGCTGTACAGGTCTTCATCGTCTGGGCTGGACTGGCCGAAGTCCATCAGAGAAGGGTCAGGCTTGAAAACAGAGCCCCCTGGAGGGCAGCAAGAGAATCACATTAGAGTCACAGGCACAGAAAGACAAATTAAATTATTTAGCATTGAATCAAACATAATGAAGATGATCAGGGGAGGACACATGAAATACATTGTAAGAGAACAGACTGACTTTTTAGTTATGTGCATGTGTGTGGTTTCTGGTTGGAGAGACTAGGGCTATTTGTGTGCAAAGATACAGACTTTGATATACTGGTAATGTATCATTTGAAAAATGTAGTGTGATGCAAATTGAGATCACTGCATTATATTTATGTTCCTTTGCTTAGGTTATGGCCAGCTGTCAAGAACAGACTCACACTGTGGTTCTAATGCTTCAATCAAGTTTTCCAGCTGCACACGTCCAAATGTTGACTCTGGCACTGTGACATCAGATTCCTCTCATGATTTGTTTGGTGGATATTATTCTTAACTCCTCCACTTCTCTTCTCAAACTGCTGAATATATAGATGTGTTCCTCTGAACAAGATTCATGCGTGTCTGGCAGGAAGCAGCTCAGGAGTAGACGCAGCAACATGAACACAAGATGTTCAGTTTCTCTCCTCTATTTTCTCAGATTGTTTCGCTGTTCTTTTCAAAAACAGAAAGGATAAATGATCTGTGTCATACTGATATAACATTAGCACTAGTACTCCTTTTACTACAGTCCCATTGAAAGACTGTCACAGATAAGACAACCAGTACAATTGTTTCCACTAATGGCTCATGGATGATTCTTTATATTTCTATGTCAACTAAATACTTGTTTATTTAAAAAAAAGGAAATGAAAAGGAAGTGTCCATTATGATAGACTAGCTCAATCTTAAAGGCAGAATGTGTAACATTTTACCCACAATAATAGAAATCAATTCTATCCTGTGTAAATGTCTCTAAGTCATGACTGTCCACAATGAGTGAGAAGTGTGAGTCCAGCTGGCTGTGTAGTTGTCGGATGATTCATGTTTACATCATGATTCCTCGGACAAGGACGGCCGGATTCGCTCCTCGTGTATAAAAGCTCTTTAAGTCAAGGACTAGTGAATGAAGACTAACATACTCACTGCTTATTAAGATGTCACATAAGCATTTTTAGATCACGGCCCATATGAAGCTATGAGCTAACCAAAGTGTGCTAACATTAGCCTGCTAACATAACAAAACAGGACACAGGTGATTGAAGCTTGAGCAAAGGACAATCTGAGGCTCACGCTTAATGGCGCTTACTTAAGGTGCGTTCCATTTGTTAACTCTTTCATGTGAACACAAGTTGAGAGGGGTTGGAGGTGTCTCCCTCGAGGAGAGCGGAGGTGTCACCAAACTGCGGTTTGTTATGGTTTCATGCTGGTGCTCAAGGGCGACATCTACTGGATCAAAGAGTTGCAGATTCTTCCTTTAACAGATAGGGCCTGGCAAAGGAGGAGTACTGAACATCGAAATGTATCTCAGAGGAAACTTACAATGCCATGATAACATCACAACTAATCTACTGTTGAATGTTCATAACAAACCAAATGAGATAAACACCAATTCAATTTAGAAACCTTTCATCTCAGGTGATTCACAGATGAGAAGTGTGTGTGTATATGTGTGTGTACAGGTCAAACATACCAAATGTTTGAACCAGCATAGTGGTGGTAGTGCAGAGTGGGTTCACAGTACCTTTGTTGTTTTCTGCTGCAGGCTGCAGAGGCGCGGGTGGTGTAAGTGTTGGTGTCTCTTCTACGGCAGCAGGTCTGGGGTCAGATGATTCAACAACTGGCACTGTGTAGGGGTTAAAAACACAGACCAGGGTCAACAGCAGGGACATGGACTGATGTTTATCTTACAAATGTCACTATTAGAAGTAATGTTGTTAGGACAGTTCTCATTGTTTGTTTACAACAATCCCATGTATCTATACGGTCTATTCTAACACAAAGTTACAAGAACTTTAGAGAACTTCCATCAACAACAATAACAAAATGTACGTTAGTTATTTTTAGGAGCTTTCAAAGGACTTTCTTTTATATTATATATTTCACAGTTTTAGGAAACTCAAAGGGGCTATATGTAACTTTCAAAAATACTGCGTTTGTAGCGATACAGCATGGCCGTTAGGTGAACTACACGAGTAACCTGCTGCTCGCTCTCCCTCGCCTGCTCGTACGTACACAAAGGAGCATCATCATCAGCCGTGAAACACTGGATATTTACAGTTTACAGAGGAGGTAAGTGGTCATACACATGTGAAAGTCTGTGAAGGAGTCTGTGTGTCTGTATTCATTCTCTATCCTACAAACGACAGTCTCTGCAGGCACTGGCTGAGAGCAGGAGTGTGTGATGAGTTTGTCCGCCTTTGAGAGCTCTCAAGGTGGATAGAAGTGTGTGGAAGGCGGCCTCTGGCTGTGGAGGTAAAAGACCAGGAGTGTGTGATGAGTTTTTACTGTTGATCTCTGTAAGCGGAGTGAAGTGAGGAGGACGTTGAGAACGTGCATAAAATGTCACTTCCTGGAGCTTTCGCGGAAAATATGACCCGGGGAAACTTTTTATAGATGCAACACAGATAGACAGTTAACATCTACTTTTTCACATCAGTTAACCGTTCGCTTATTAATGGGCGATAAAAACAATTTATACATGTAAAAAGTTACATATAGGACCTTTAAGAAGCTCTTCCAGTTCCAACAGTGGTTTTCAAAGTAGGCACATACAGTTTGGTATAGTTTTGGCTATTTGAAATGATGTGGCAGAATATTTCTGGTACCTATTGACTCCTCGACTGGAGCAGACTCTACCGCAGCTGGTTCTACTGGAGCAGACTCTACCGCAGCTGGTTCTACTGGAGCAGACTCTACTGCAGCTGGTTCTACTGGAGCAGACTCTACTGCAGCTGGTTCTACTGGAGCAGACTCTACTGCAGCTGGTTCTACTGGAGCAGACTCTACTGCAGCTGGTTCTACTGGAGCAGACTCTACTGCAGCTGGTTCTACTGGAGCAGGCACTACAAGAGCAGACTCTTCTGGAGCAGACTCTACCGCAGCTGGTTCTACTGCAGCTGGTTCTACTGCAGCTGGTTCTACTGGAGCTGGTTCTACTGGAGCAGGCACTACAGGAGCAGACTCTTCTGGAGCAGACTCTACTGGTCCAGACTCAACCGGTGCAGATTCTATTGGCAGACACTCCGCTGGAGAAGCCTCTACAGATTCTACGCTTGGTGTTGGCTCGGCTAGACTGATATCGGGGGATACATCCTCAGTTGCTTCCTTTGTGCCAGAGGGTTCACTTTCAACAGGTGTAGGTAATTCCTCTGAGGCTTTGGTGGTATCTGTCTCTGCTGGCGCTGAATGTGCCACTGGATCTGTACAGAAAGAGGGAATACAGCATATCATCAGTGAGAGCCTTTGTGTGATTGTGTGTGAAACAAAAGAGATTGAGACGCAGAAGGAAGCAGACAGAGATCAATATCTATAACACCTGTAGTGGCCTCTGAAGGGATCTGGTCCGGTGATATCTCCGTGAGTGTGACTGATGACACCTCGTCTTTTACAACAGCGACAATGAGCTCTTCTGAGACAGGAACAGACTCAGCTGATTCCACCTCTATCTCAGGAATTGAAGGGCTCTGGACTGAGCTGGCCTCTGAAGCCTCATGGACTACAGCAGACTCTGGATTTGGCACTGGAGCTGCCTACCAACATATGGGAGAGAAAAAAAAGATACATTAAACAACATCAAAATATTGTCATGGATTTCAACTTTAGTTTGTTTAGTTTGTCAGGGAGCATGTACAAAATATACATTAATCTCAATTAATGAGAGAAGAAGCATTGCAGCAGATTTAGCTGATTAATTACATTCTATCTGCAGTCCCTGGGCAGGTAGACACACTAACGATACAAAGAACAAAACACAATTAATCAAAACTAAACAAGATTAGGAGCTAATAAAACAGATAACATCATAGCCACATTCCCTAACGTAAAACCTACTCCCTCCACCCCCACAAAAAGCATTCTACCATATTCACACATCTATAAATGGTTTTCTATGGACAGTAAGAGGTCATAGAGATGTCATTTGATTTATGAAATATAAAACAAATTCTTGTCAAGGAATAGTAGATGGTAAATTGACTTGAGCTTGTATAGCAATTTTTCTTGTCCTCTGACTCAAAGCACTTTATAGACCACATGTCACAACTACACATTCACACACTGAAGGCAGAGGCAGCTATGGAAGAGTCCATCAGAATTAGTTTATCCCATTCATACACATTTAAACGCCGCCGTCGAAGCAGCGGGAGCAATTTTGGGTTAAGTGTCTTGCCCAAGGACACATCGGACATATGGGATTGAAAACTCCATCTCTTCTATCTCTACTCTGACTGAATAGAAAAACACTAGTTGTCAGCTTATATCAGTATTTAAATGTTTATGTCCATGCTGTCATTTCCATTTTATTAAGTCTACGCAGCCTAGAAAAAGTAGCTTAGATAATGAGTTCAACAACTGTTTAAGTTTTTACTTCAAAACCAATACCTACTACCTCCATAAAACATGTAGACACGAGGCACACAAAGAAGGCATCAACACAAACAATGACTATTAAAGGGACAAGTCTCAAAGACTACTTTGAACCTTTTGGATGATTTGAGTAAGTATAAAGTGTAGAGTGGTAATCACTTGTGGGAAGAGAGTAATCAATATCTGTGTAACACTGCTTCATTTAGTCACAGTAACCCCTTGCATTACCTTTCATTCAAAACTAACTGCTTCCAGTCACACTCCTTCATCTTCTGGTTACAAAAACATGGATAGAATCTGATTCCAAGTCTTTCATTTGACATATAAAAACATTTAAGTTATTCTGCAACAGATTCCAGGCTCAGGGTGCAGAATATGCCCAAAGCCATTTTCTTATTTCTGTCCGAGTGTTTGGGACAGAGAGCATGAAGAGGTCCTGAGAACGCAGAAGAACATACTTCAGTACTTTTCTGCGTGATAAAAACACATCGATAGTCTGGGAACAGAGTTGTACCAGTGTATGATCCTCAGGGTCTTCAGAGCAGTATAAACTCACAATGGGGAGTCCGAGCTTTACAGTTTGTAATGAACCTCAAGGAGGCATGGCATGGTTCTACATGTATTTTGTACTTTTTTTCCCCTTTTGATGCAAAACTAATCGCCGGGGGGAAAATAATGTTGAAGTTGGTAGGCTGTCTGAACCATATGGAGACACAGAGGCGTGTATGTACAAAAGATCAAAGAAAAACACAACTTCTTTCTAAAATACAAACCCTCTTTTAACCTCAGCTCTTTCACCAGGCACAGCACATGTGGTTGATATAATGTAACTCAGTATGACTGTTTACCTGTGGTTGAGAGGCAGCATCTTCTATGACAACAGGCTCCTGAGGCTTCGAGGTGAGCAGTGAAGACACAGCAGCGCTGCTCCACTGCCCTGCAGCGTACACCTTCTTACCTGTCACCTTGGGAATAAAAGAAAATGATTGTAAAAAATATGTTTTTGTAACTGGTTTTCAAGAGGTCGGCATTCAAAAACATCATCTGTTACCTTCAGCACAGCCACAGCATGAGCCGGGTAGCACACTGAAACTCCTGCAGTCATCAGGCCCATCGGAACAGCTACCCTCTTAAAACGAGAGCCTGAAATAAAGTTTACAATGAAGAAAGGCATTCAGTTGAGGTTGGCATCAATTACACCCTGGGGTACAGATTCTTCTGGGACTGCTGGATCTGGAAAGGTCACATACACATGGCCTATCATAGCTTATTAGAACTAACACAGTGACGCAGTTTCACACAACCCTTTGCCCAAATGAGTTTAAACCTAAGCAACATTTCATAAATCAGGAGAGCAGGTGTTTTAAAGGGAATACATTCATTCAAGGGTTTGAGTGAAATCTACATCATTTCCAGTAAAAGAGAAACAGCTTCATTTATCATTCTGTGGTGTTCTTCTTTCTACCTCTGTGGTTTATCAGTGAGGTTACTGTTAGAAGAGTTATTCCTCCCTGTGAGGTCACTGTCAGGTGAAATGCTGCTGCCTGAGAGCACTGATATTAGATTCAAAGGGACTGAGTTGAAGACTTGAGAATTTGAAAAACAAGGTTATATATTATTAAAATCACTAATGAACACTTAACAAACATGTGAAGCTTATTTAATTATGAGCGTTACTAAAAGCTGTATGGCTAACACATCCTGTGCAGGACGCCATGTGACTCATGAAATGACTGTTTTTTTTAAATCAACACTACAAAGTGACACTTTAGATTCTCAGCAGAGAAAGATCACAAAAAATAATTTCTTCTCTCCCAGAGTACAATGTTAGAGAGGAGACACAGATCCTTACTTTAACTTGTTAAATGCAGAACAAATACTGGAAAATCCTTTTTATTTGACACTTCAGAGTACAGAAAGTGACTTCTGCAAACAAACTGAGGCAGGGTAGGATTGTAAAGTTAGATATGACCAAGCTGTTTGTTGGCATATGCAGGTTAAAACAATGTATATGATGGTGGTACGATGAAAGACGATGACATAACAGGCCTCTCTATGATCATTTGTAGTGATTCACTTCCTCTGTTACATTTTTAAAACTAATTCACATGTAATAGATGACAAACTAATGTTTCCCAGTCAGCCTTAAGTGTTTACAATGTATTGACAGGAGAAAACTTTACCTTTCCGTGCCAAGAACATGCCGAGCAGACCAGCCATGGTGATGGTGCCAAATCTTGGAAGGAATCCCGGGGGAGGGTCTTTTAAGTAATAAAACACATCTGGGAATCACAGAACATGGGAAACACAGTCAGCATGATATATACAGAGAGTATTCCCTGTAATGTTCTCGACTCTGACCTGATGTCTGACGTTGTTAGATTATTAGAAACACGAGCAGTACTGATGGTACTGAGAGTTGTGACATTAATGGTTTATTATTATGGGTAGCTGTATTGTTAATGGTTGGTAAAATATAGTAGCATTTTTTAAGGTGCATTAACGCAAATTTCTCATTTTGTCAAATAAGGGCTGTTCATATTTTTACCATGATAACTTACAGACTGGCAGGAATATATACATCATTCATTTGAAGAGGCTAAACACAGCCGTCACAGATACACTCTGGGGAATGTTTGTTTTTAGTGTGTATTTAAGGCACCAAATGTATTTAATGTATAAATAACTCTGCAGCGATAACAAGTCTACTACAGTCTTCAGTCTCAATTCTCTGTAGCTGAATGGAAGACAGGTAATTAAAGTTTGGACTTTAAGGGAGAAAAGTTGAGTTATATGTGATGCCTTCAGGTACCTACTGGTGACTCACCTTCTCCTGTATGGTATAGATTAACACTTCCTGTTTTCACAGATACACACGCCCCCTGTCAGGAGCACAAGACAAAGTACAAAATAAACCAGTAAATATAAATATATATACAGCCATTAAGAACCCAACTATTACAAAAATACTTTAATGGAAACATCTCAGTCAGTGTGGAGTTTTTTCCCTTTCGTTTGTCACTTTATCAAACTGTCAAATCTCTTTGCAGCAAATGTAACACCTGCAGCATCGACTGCATGAATGCTACTTCCTGTCTGACTCCTGAACTATGCTATTTGCAAATATCGTACCTGCACAGAGCACTTGCAGCACATGGGATTGTGCTCTGTAACCGCAAGAGGAACAAAAATCAGGGTTGGAAAACTAACACTGCAGGTGCATGATCAAACCTCAACAATGTACTGTAGCTGTTGTTCTATTTATACACCACTGACTAACAACTATCAAAAGAGTTCATGTGGATTTTGGCTTTCAGTTTTAGAGTGTGAAAGAATGAGTTATATGTGAGGGGGTAGTGTCTGTGAACTGTATTATCTATCAATGTGTATACACACTACATGTGCACTACAACGAGCCAAATGCAACGAAATTTTGTTCTTATCTGCACTGTAAAGTACAAGTTTGAAGAGTTTTGATACCTGAACAGTCTGGACAAATGGCCGTATGCTCTCTCTCGCTGTAGTCAATCCTCTCTGAATTAAACCCGGCCTCTCTGGAACAAACTGAGCCGGGGCAGACTGTGGCAGGGGGGTGTAGATGTTCAACTGTTGATAGAGGCAGGGTTTAACATGTGGTTAGGACATGACACAGTTCAGTGAATGGCAAAGACTTCTTGTAGATACTGAAGTTTTTTTTATTTTTAACAGCCATACCTTTTCTCTGTTTATGAGCCCATCCCTGTGGGCTTCACTTACAGTATACACCCGGATGGAGGCTATACCCAGCACCGTCGGGACGGCCACTAACGCCACCTACAATACAATAAAAATATACACAACTGTAAGCACACACACAATTATGTTGTCCAGCCAGTGGTAGAATTCCTATAGTCATACATTCAAATCAGAAATGGACTTGTGCTATAGTAAGAAGTTATTATATTAATTACTGTTAAAGTTGTTATTATGTTAAAGAGGACATATTATCCACCTCCTCCACCTTTTCAAACAGTCCCGTGGTCTAAATGAAACATCTGTGCTGTGATTTGGTCAAAATATAACGTGAATCAAGCACCAGAGGAGGTTTGTGACCCTGTATAAACCAGCTCTCTCAGAACGCTCCATTTTGGTGTGTGTGTCTCTTTAAATGTAATGACCCCCCCCCCCCCCTGAGCTTTCCCAGTAGACATCACTCCTCTGTAGCGAGAGTAAAAATGGCGGACCTGCGCAAAAGTTTTGTTCTAGGCTGGAGGTGGAGTCATGGGTGGAGATATCAGGGGAGGGGAGGGGATTTTTTTTTTTTACCAGAATCCCACTGTGACATCACAAGGAGCGCACATTTGAAACAGAGCATTTTTCTCTGTGTTGTAAGACTTATGCAGACCACAAACAAAGGACTGGATGGGTTTATTTCACATTTTGTGGGTCAGTAGACTCTCTCAGGTTACCCAAATATATGTTAACAAACACTGAGAAAGTGGATTTTTCACAATTTTTCCCCTTTAAATTGACACTGTTATAGTATGGAGACCATTTAAATAGACTGTATAATGCTAGATGATAATATATCTTTTATGTCTACCATATGTTTTTCAAGAAAAACTAAACAGCCTACAGGGAGCTGTAACAATCTGTCCTGTATACTTGTCCTTATATACCTCAGTTTCGCTTAGAAGCACATAATGATATTCTCATGTACTTGCCACCACAGGTATGCATATTTAGCCATCGTACGTAAAGGCAAAGGTATGGCTCAACAGCTAACCTGACGCAAACAGTAAAAGTGAGAGTACTTCTTTGAAGGCTGTCATCTAAGATAGCAAAACGCTGACTTGTTAGCATGCACTCATTCAGCGGGGCTAGTACAGTAGACACACTAGTTAGCACGGCTTCTCTCCTGCTGGTGTTAAATAGAATCAGCTCAGATTAACATTACGGCTCCGGACTGTTTGACGTTAACCCTACACCCGAGAACTAACTGAGAACAAACATTTCAAACACACGAAAACTTTGACGGAGAGGAAATGTCAAGCATTCACCTTGGCCGCCATGACAGTGCTCCTGCTCCTGCTCCTCCTCCTTCTTCTTTGGGCTGCGAGGCGACCCCTTGGAGTGGTCCAAAGCACGGTACCCTACTGCCACCTGGTGGGCAGAAGACGCACCTGCAACAGCTTGGTGTTTATCTGGTGTAAGCCGGTGATCTCACTCACAAAGCATGATCCCACAGTGTTCTCAGTCAAGCTCACTTTATTTAACTGGTGATTAGAACATCTGATTGAATTCAATTGAAATTGAATATTTACATTTATTTTCATTAATCATATTTTAAAACAAATTCTGAGTGTTTAAAGTGCCGCTGGGAATTCTCTGTGTGTGCAATTGCTTATCATGGACAAGAGAATGCAAGGTGGGCAATTACCCAGGGGAGCCAAGACCACATGGGTCTCCTCAAGCTCTTGGTTGTCACTAAATAGAGCTTATAGAAATGTCCACATCCTTTCAAAATATAAGTTTTGTTTCATCATTGTTGATTGCACTTTAATTGTTTTTATGATCACTTAGAGGCACGGTAGATTCAACAGGGTTAAGACACATTGCAGAGCTTGAGGTGGAGGTCATGCAGTCTAATCTTAATTATGAAATAATAAAAAATAAAAAAAACAGCAGAACATCGTAGAACAAATATGATTTTCATTGCTCATACAGGCCTAATAAATGTATACTGTGTATACAAAGGCATGCAGGTATTGAAAACTGGAAGCTCTATAATGCACAAGTGTGAATATGAGTGTGATTGGTGTCAGCCTTGTGTTAGACTGTTGATCTGCAGGGAAGCACACAGTGCTTATTCTCTTTCCTTCCTTTGACCCAGCACAGGATTGGGTACAGTACAATGAGTGGATGCAATGGGTGAATGAAGAACAGTGCATGCAGGGCAGGCTGCTTAACTACTACTTGCTCTTGAAGAGCGCAGCTACGGGTATAGTTTGCTCAAGACATTTAAGATATGCATATCAGCTATTGCATGAATAGAACATATTGTATCTCCTTCTGGTTTATGAAATGATCCCTACACTTCATTTGAAACTTAATCCTGGAAAAATATGCACAGAGAACAAAGTAATGCTGATGCAAAATAAATCCAAGAAAAGTTACAGACAGAGCGAACATAGCTCATAGTGCAGAGGATTCAGTTTATTGAAGTCAAAGTTTAACAACTTAAGTTTACAATCTGTATTTTTTGTAATATATATTCATATATATGAAACCAAAAAAGGCTACTTTAGGAAGAATAAATGTCATTTTCTGTCTTTTTTAATATCATCTTTAGTCAGTTTAATGTACAGAATAACAGTAAGCTAATATTATCCTTGAAAAAGAGCAATATGTTCCTTTTTTAATGTCGCAGTGCAACTTACATCTTACACACCTGTGCAATGTACCATGAGGTGTACACCCCTGAAAGAACACACAGTGGAATCTCCCCTTTCGGCCTGTTTCTGCAGGTCTACACACACAAAGATCTGGGAGGGATAACACAGTCTGTGCCTACAAATTGTAACTCGCACTCCTTAATCTACAGTATGTTGCCTGCTCAGCAGAGCAGCGGTTGAAAAAAAAAGAATCCAACGTTACAGATGAGAAACGTAGAGAGGACTGCAGACTAGCACTGTATATGAACTCTTCTACAGCTGTGTGTGTGTAGGATCGCCTGTATAGTCAGTCCATCGTTGCCAAAGAGAGGGTTGGGAGGCACAGGGAAAGTGCTTGCATCATTTAGTTTCTTTGTGGTACTCTTGAATTAAGCATTCAAAAAGCATGAGCTATATCTGTGGGCTGTGTTTGATATTTCACAACAATGTGTGACATGATGAAAAAACCTGAACCTACACTGAGAGAACTACAGAAAAGAACGATGAAGAATAAGTACAGATAGTGCTGAATGCAGCAGGTGCTACGCATGTCTGTTAATGTCTTGGACACTGGGGGGCAGCGTTGAGTCCTTGGCCTGATATTGCAGATGAAACGATTCATCTGAGTTTCACAGACATTACAGACCATTTAGTGTCGAGGTCTTTGACCACCCAGTGTCAACCATATGCTTGGAGGGAATATCAAAACAGCTTTCATTTCTAAAGTACCTGCACTGTTTTCTCTCAGGTAAGATTCCTGAAGCCTTTGGACTCGTGTCAGTCTGCCTCTGTAAACCAAAACATCAAATTGAAACCTCCTGGTAGCATGCTAAAGAAGGATCTGCATTTGATCAAGTAACTAAGGAGCCAAAATACCACCTCAGTTATTGTACAGTGTGTGTCTTCAAACACTATCTAAGAAATAAAAAAAAGGATGGACATATATAAATCAAAATATTTCTCAACAGTAGTTTTGCATGTATCATGCGCTACAAGTCTAATCTTGCAATCATGAGAGAAAGAAAAGAAAAGAACACAAATGATCCACAATATTTTACCCTGTCCAATCAAATCAGTCCCAGGCCTTTTCTCATGCAACACATCACCAGGAGAAGGATCAGCTGTGATATAGCCACTAGAAATAGTCAAACTGTCAATCAACTGTTGAAGATGGTGGTTGTTGTTTGTTTGTCTCCTAGTTGTTCAACTGCTAAACACCCTGCGTCTACAGAGTGAAGAGGGGGACACTGCAAAACCTTGGCATAGAATACATCATACTTTACATTATATCTATGACACAAAACGTAAATAGATTTATATATTCTTCTATGTTTAAATATATTTGTAGACTGTACACAAATCTTTAGAAAATGAGACGGCAAATGCTTTTACCTGATATTTTGAACAGCAATGGTAAAGAGGCCGATGAGACATAGACCCTGTGATGCAGCCAATGGGATATAGAGATATAGAAAGTGCATTCTTTGTAGTGAGTGACTCATTGAAAAAGAACTCTCTAGCTCTTGCATTCACTGTTAAAAGATAAAAACAAAGCAAAGATAAACGCACACAAAAAAAAGGTTTGCACCCACGCAAATACATACTCTCTGTCTTCCCTCCGCTACCTCTAGAAGCATATCACAGTGGTAGTGGAACGCAAACATTTACATCAGTACACACAGCAGTATACACATATACACAAGTCTTTGAGGATTAGAGAGAGAGAGAAAGTAAACAAAGGAGGAGATGAAGAGAATAGAAGGTGGAGATGAACAGTGAGAGGGGAAAAGAAAGGAAGAGAGGCAGAGATAATGCAAATGAATCATGCTATCAGAGGAGCCTCCCTTTGCAGATACAATTGTTTTTTTTTTTTAACAGTTCACAGTTTGGAATGGTGTGCATCTAGCCAGCACAGTGGTTCCTTCAATAACACTTGATTTCATTGGTTCCCCGGGGGAACAGCAAAAAAACAGATACACCAGTATCACTGGCTACCTTTCACAGTCTTACACTCTAAAGTCACCGCCCTAACGTTCCCCCACACTGTCCCATCAGATCAGCCTGGAAAAAACATGTGAGGTCCCATTAAATACATGAGATATGCAGTAAGAGAGAGAAGAAAAAAAAAGATACAGAGAGAGAAAGGGGGAGAACTGTTGGCTCTGGGTGCAAAGTTCATCAGTACAAAAGTAGTACAGTGCTGTGGTGAAAAGGATTCTCCTCTGTATTGCTGCTACATAGCTCCCCCTGCCCCCTGAAATCAACAGGACAAAACAAAGGAGTAAGAAATGAACAAACATGTTAAAAAGTCTCCTTTTTCCATTTTGCTTGACAAGCATGTTGAGTTTATGCTGAGTTCCATAGACAAAGGAAGATTAATGCTTTCTGTTCAGGCATGCAATAGGCACCCTGTGGGGTCCTCAGAATTATCAAAAGTTCATACACGCAGGTCTCAGACTGTTCCCTCTATGATATTTACACATCTTACAATGTGTGTGTGTGTGTGTGTGTGTGTGTGTGTGTGTGTGTGTGTGTGTGTGTGTGTGTGTGTGTGTGTGTGTGTGTGTGTGTGAGGTCGTGCTCAGAGTCGTGATGCTGCAGGAGGATTCTGCAAATGTAAAGCTCTGTGTGTGTGTGTGTGTGTGTGTGTGTGTGTGTGTGTGAGTGATTGTGTGTATCAGTTCAGTTTTTGCTTCTGCTCTCGTCTTCACACATGTGTCTCAATGAAGGAGTGTGTGTGAGTCATGAGAGGTGCAGCCAGCGGGGAGAGGTCGTCCTGGCCGTTGGTGCCGGGGCTGTGCTGGCAGATGTCTGAGTAGAGCTCGCCGTGCCACTGCTTCCACTCTCTGAAGGTCTGGGAGCACAGGCCAGGATCCTCCAGAAGGGCACAGATCACTGCCAGCTCTGATTCTTTGGCCTGGAGAAAAAAAAGAGACACCAGGAAGTTACTAAGTTTAATCCTCACATCTCCAATTCTTCTTAAAAATACCTGAATCCTCTGTTTGTGCTACCTTCAAGGTGCTGCGGAGGGCCCGGACCCGATGCAGTCTATCGTTGAGAAGAGGGTCTCTGGCTCTCTGGGTGAAAACTCTCCGAAGGTCCTGCCTGCTACAGGGTTTTGGGTCTCCCAGGGCTGTCACGTTGGCCTGCTCCAGGGCCCGGTAAAGCTGCTCTAGCCCATCCAAGGGCTCTGGCTCGCGGCCCTCTGACACCCGCCGCTCCCTTCCCTCTGACACCCTCCTTTCTCTGCCCTCCACTCTCAACTCCCGTAGGTCTGAAACTCCAAGGGGAGGACCAGTAAGAGTCAAATTTACTGTTAGAAAGACACAACAAGGACAGTTTGAAATTACAGCCGTGGGTTTAGTATAAAGCAGAAAACATGGTTAGATAAATTAATCAGTTGATGGAAATCATTTGTTTGGGCCCCGAGCAAAAAGGGCAAAAATGTAAACATTACAGCCTTTAAAATGAAAATACTTGCTTTTTTTTATAAAACATTTTCTGTGTTAGTAATCTGACTTTTTGGGGGCTTTTTTCTTTTTACTGCTGGTGAATCATAAAGGTCACCTATAGTCGGACCCACTCCTCTCTGTTACGAAGCTAATCAGAAGACGTTAACTGGTGAATGATGATGATCGCTGCTGATTGGCTGCTGGAGTAAACATTGTTTCCCCTTTACAAACTGCACTTTAGACCTGATATGGAAAAAAGTAGTGAAGTAATTTCCCTTTCCTTTACAAATCACCATGTAAAGCTGTGTTATGTCATGAAATTAGCAAATAAGACCATGTTCTTTTTTAACCTCTTTTTCACCCGAGGTAACCAATAATATATTCTCTTTTACCAAAAATGTGAATAGCTCTCCTAAATAAAATCCTTACCCTCTAAACTATGTCTTGTGCTGGCTACTCTAAGATCCATAAAAGCAGCAGACACTTGAAACACATCATTAATTTAAAGTCATGTTTACAAGCAGTTTTCATAAACAATTAGCCATTTAGTATCAAGGATAACACATTAGGGTTTAGATTTGATCATAATCAACATATAAAAAGTTATCCAGTCTTTAATATATATTTATATATTTATTTATTTTTATATAAATATATTTAGATGTTTAATGTTAACGACTTCAAACACTAATATGTGTAGATAATGTAATGGAATAATGTTATGTTTAATACTTGTTTTCTGCAATATCAGCACTGAAACTCTACCATTTATTAAAGATCAGAGTCATCCAGCACACACAGGATTGTTCAGATAGACGTTCAAGTTTCATGCATGTAAAAAAATTGGAGCGAACAATGTGTTTCACATTGTGGCTTCCTCAGGTTTGCTCTCTGTCCTTATTATTTTTATAGGTTTATATTTTACTAAGAACATTTCAGTACATCTGGAACACTTCTTTGACTTGAAATTGACTAAACTGACTTTATTCTCTGAGCCTGCTCCTTCAATATCCTGTCTTATTTTGTCCAGTACAACATGTCAATATTTTACTTTTTAACATTACAGTAAAGATATTCAGCTGTACATTTTAATTCCAAGATAACAAATTGTTCAATTCAATATACCAAAATGTGAAGACAATAATTCAGACTTGCTTTCCACCTCTAATGCTATTCCTCTGAAGACCACATAGACTTTCTGTGTGTATGCCTCATTTGAGTGTACAACAGATCTTGTGTTATTTTCTTACCCTCCTCGCCCTGAAGCATCTCAGCAGCCTGTTCTCTCTCGGCCTCCTCGTCCTCACTCCTCTCCTCCATATGAGCTGAGGTGTGTAGCAGCTTTCCTGGCATCGGGTCTCTGTTCCTGGGCAGACTCTGGCTGCGCTGCTTGTGGGAGCGTCGGTGTGTGTGACTGTGTGTGTGTGGACCTCGCTCCAGAGGGAAGGGCCCGTCTCGTTCCCTGTCCCTCTCTGCGGCGTGGTGTCTCCGTACGGGCAGCGTGGCCTGCCTGCGTCTCTCCGGGGACATGCCCTGTCTGCCCAAGCCTCCGTACAGCCCCATATCTCCTGCCATGCTCCCCATTAGGCCTCCGTATTCACTCTCCCCCGGTGCTGTCTGCAGGAAGTGTAGCCCAGCGCTGGTCAAAGGGGTCTCTATGAGGTCCTGCCAGGAGCGCCGCTCACGATGGGTGGAGCGGCAGCCCGATGAGTGGGTGCTGGTGCTGCCCGTGCCTGTACCCATGCCCATGCTGTCTCCACGCTGGTCCTCAGCCGAGGAGTGAGAGTGCGTGGACTCACTGGAGAAATGTCGGCCATGCTTGGGCTCCGGAAAGGGGCTGGAGGAGTTGACCTGGAAAGGGAGAGGGGAGGTGGAAGAGACCATCTGTGGAGGGATGGGGGAAGTGGAGGCACTCAATGATGGAGGACGTGGGGATGGAGTGGAGCGCATGAGGCTCATGGAGCTGACTGAGCGGGGCAACTGGTCATAACTGTGAAGGAAGTTAGTCTGAAGGAGAAAGGGTTTGTGAGGTGTGCCGGGGTTGGTTAGTATGGAGAGTAGTGACAAGGAGGATAAGTGGAATATCACAGAAAAGTGAAATGTGATCACAAAAACAAGGCCCGCAACACAAGGAGAAAGAGGAGGGGTGCGAGGAAAGAGAGACAGAAGGAGAAGAAAAGGAAGACAGAAAAGCAGAAAAGCAGAAAAAGAGCAAAGAGATGAGAGCAAAAAAGCAATGAGATGGCAGATGATAAACTCCAAGAATGGCTGACATGACTGTTGTGTTGCTCAGCTGGGACAGAATGATTCCCATTCCTCAGGACTGAACGAAAACCCACTGAGGAAAAAGTATATTTCTGTGTTGTGTTATAGTCTACAGATTTGATTAGTGATGGCAACTGTCGCCACCTAGAGGTCCGATTGTAAACAAGTTCTGGCAGCAGAACACAGTGAAGTGATGGTGTTGACTGCTTAGCAAACCAGATTCTCTCACACTCTGATGTTTTATTTATGCCAGTAGCTCTGGTCTCTGCAGCTCTGAAAACTAAGGGGCTTTCAGGGATAAAATATTCCATCAGAATGAAACACTGCAATAGAACTCGTAAGCGTGTATGGGTGTGTATGTGTTATCTTGCTTACCGATGGTGTGCGGTGATAAGTATCACAGAGGGAGGAGGGTCCCTCCTGTTTGAGTGTCATCGAACCATCGACTTCGTCTTGATCGCTCTCACTCCAGTAATCTGATTTTGAGAGTAAACACACACACACACACACACACACACACACACACACACACACACACACACACACACACACACACACACACACACACACACACACACACACATACATGTTAGAAGTTTATCAGCAAAACGGTAAAGTTGGTTTTCTTTAGTCAAGTGAGTCCATATCACCTTCATCTGGGCGTGGCACTTTGTCATCTGGTGTGTAGCCAATGGCAGCAAGACCAAGCCGATTCATCCACCTATAGGAGACAAGCAAAGAGAACAGGAGAAGGAAAGTGAGGAAGACAGTGTCAGAGGAAAGATGAGGAAAAGAGAAGATTGGAAAAGAGGGAATGACCTGTCTTACAGTATAAATTTACTTTTAATTATTTAAGTGGCATCTCTGAACAGTTGATATCTATCTAACGGACTCTACCGCCCTGCCCTGATGAGGAGAGAAAGGGTTGAGTTAATTAGAAAGATGAATGATGAACAAGAGAGAACAATCTTCTCTTCTCTCTCATCAGTGAATTTCATGCCGCTTGTCTTTTCCCATTCCTTAGTCCATCTCCAGAGCAGAATCCACATCCTGTGACTCTCGGCAGACACCTAATAATAAGGTTTTACTAAGAATAGAGGCCCAGTCAGTACGTGAGGAACAGGAAATGCATGACTAGGAATTGTATCCTATTGAAATTAACTAACATATTACAGGATAAGGTTTTATTCTGCAGCTTGAAAAAGTTCAAAAGCATGTATTTCCAACTTCTTATTTAGATTTTGTTCTTTTAAAAAGAAAGACATCAATCTCAACCTCACTGTCCCATTTTAAATTATTAAAACCTTAATCTGAATGAAAAAGGTCTAAAAGTTAAACACAGGGAAAGGAAGTCAGCTGGTTTCAAAAGGTGCCAGTTGTTTTTTTTGTTTTCATGGGATTTGCTCGGAATAAAAGACAAAAAAAACATTTCCTGCCTTCTTTAAAGAGGACATATTATACCCCTTTTCAAACAGTCCCCCTGTGGTCTAAATGAAACATCTGTGCTGAGCTTTGGTCAAAATATAACATGAATCAAGTACCAGAGGAGGTTTGTGACCCTGTAGAAACCAGCTCTCTCAGAACGCTCCGTTTTGGTGTGTGTGTCTCTTTAAATGTAATGACCCCCCCTGAGCTTTCCTGGTAGACATCACTCCTCTGTAGTGAGAATAAAAATGGCAGATCTGTGTAAAGATTTTGTTCTAGGCTGGAGGTGGAGTCCATGGGTGGAGATACCAGGAGAGGGGAGGAGATTTTTGTTACCAGAATCCCACTGTGACATCACAAGGAGAGCAAATTTGAAACAGAGCATTTTTCTCTGTGTTGTAAGACTTATGCAGACCACAAACAAAGGATGGGTTTATTTCACATTTTGTGGGTCAGTAGACACTCAGGTTACCCAAATATATGTTCAAAAACAAAAAAAATTCATAATATGTCCACTTTAAGTCTTTTTAATCATCAGTTTGCCTTCTCCTTGGAATCCATTTTCAGCATGGCTGCTGAGAAACTGTCCATCTATACACGCCATTTGGTGTTCTAAGCTATTTTCTAAATGTACTTAAATCTTTTTAAATCTTTAAAGGAACTCAGGAACTTACATATGTTTGAACTTTTCTTTAGCTATCTTAAAAAAAGACTCCATACTTTTGAGTATTTTTTTCCAGTGGCACAAAAACCATTGGAGTAGGACTTCAGGTACAGTAAAGTATATTGTGAGCTTTTTCTGAGCTTTCTTCCAATACTTATTTCCCACAGTGGAAACTTTAAAATTGAACACTTTTTTGGTGGGTGGATGGATGGGGGTCTATCTGCTTTAATTTGGACAGGACAGCTATCGGCAGAGAGAGTTGGGAATGATGACATGTACAGAATAGCGTTGGATCCGGAGCTGAACTCAGGACCAGTGTGTCAAGGACTTACTACATACCTGCAGTGCCTGCTCAAACAACTGAGCAAAACAAGCATCCCATAATGTAACACAATTTACATGTAAGAGCAAGAATAAACCATGAAACATCAAGTAGACAGGTTGTTGTTTTTTTTCAGATGCCCAACACCCCCCTTTTCCCTTTTCACACACACTTATAATTACAAATGCACATTAAGTTGTGTGCAGCAGCCCCTTCACACATGAACCTACATGTGCTGTATGGAAGTCAAATATAGCTGGTTAATTACTCTACAGCAATTATCTCTCCACGTTATTGAGGAGAGGTGTGGATAATTAGAGCTCATCAGATAGCACTACTCCCTCTCTCACAGACACTCATGTGACACACATGCACACGCACTCTGACACAAATACACACACAGTACCACACACAGGGAGGGCTGGGTTCATGCCTTATTCATGCACTGTGTTGTGTGGGCTGTTGCCTTGTGTAAACTTGGTTTACTCAGTTAAAATATTCATGAAAGAACACGTGACGTCCCGAGCATCTGACGATTGTCCACATTAAGACACGAAAACACACTCAGAGACTCACAGAGACACCACCCCCTCTCGCTCACCTGTTCATTTCCTCCAGACAATCTGTGGCGAAGAAGAAGCTCTTGATTTTGGGATGACAGGCTTTGAAGGCACTGCAGTCAGTCGGGGAGAAAAGTTTGATTAGTGTGTTTGTGTGCGCACAGTGTGCTTGTGTTTCACGTCGTGTGGGTGAGGGCTAATGTGCTTGATTAGTAATTTCAGCGACATGTGAGGGACACTCACAATTTCCGTCTGCACTCTATGGCTCGGTCTATTCTGAACTCTGGGAGGCTGATGAAGCCCTCAGCTTTCTCATCCTGCAGGCACAGACAGATGGAGAGTGATGGCATATCATCAACACCGGGAACAAAATGTCACACGTACTGATATACCAATTTTATAAGAGATAGCAATAGTCAAGTCAAGCATATGAAAGCAGCGTATGTTGTTTACACTGGCAGAAAATATATTTCTTCAACAGCCTGACGTTAAAAAGATAGAGAGGAGACACAGAGTTCAATGCTGAAATCTGAGCGACGTAAAGAAGTTTACATTAAATAACATTACATTGTCAGTGTAAGTTTTCTTCTTTCCTTCATTACATTCAAAATATTCAGATAACTAGTGTTGTAGTTCTCGAAATCAGTCTTGGTCTCGAGACCTCTTTTTGAAGGTCTCGGCCTCGTCTCAGAATCAAAAGCATTTTTACTTGGTCTTGTCTCGGTCTCAGACTGAACTAGTGATGTGAAAAGCAGTTCTTTTCAGTGTACTGAATCAGTAGAATCAGTTCAGTAAAGTGATTCGTTCAAAAGATTCGTCCACCGAATCGTTCAGTACTTCTCTGCAGCTCTGTCTGTGAATCAGAATTTAATAAACTGAAACACGGCTGAACGTTTAGTTCTGCTTGCGATCGTACTGAGAACAGCCGGTGGTGAATAATAAACTAATGAGCTGAGAATTTAGTTAGATAAATCTACAGTTTGCAACTGAAAGCTGCTAAAACAATCACATTTATTTTCCCCGACCGTTCTGTTCAGTACGTTCAGTACACCAATCACTCACTGACTGACTGACTGACTGACTGAGAGGAAGAGAGAGACTCGGAGGCGGAGCTCTCCTTCAGTTCGTTCAGTGAACGTGAACGAGCGAGACTGCGAGTCACCAGCCTCAGTCACACACACACACTGTACTGACTGAAACACGATCGTTAGTAGATGTTAAAACAATCAGCTGAGTGAAATTGAGTTGGATATAAAAGCCGTTTGTAAACTGACAGCAGCTATAAAAAGCACATACATTTTCGCGACACCTAAATGTTAAATAATATATTTTCTACTTCCTCAATTTTGGAGACATGAGAGGGAGAAGTAGGGGCGGCTTTAGAGACACAGAGCTCCCAACCGACTCCGTCCTGTTGGTTCAGTCAGTATGTATCACTGACATGAGAGGGAGAAGGAGGGCGGGCTTTGAGCGACTCTTACAGTCTAGAGAGAGATACGAGACGGGAGAGAGGAGAGGCAACTGAAGTTGAGAAATGAACGACTCTTTTCAGTCAGTGATTCAGTTCAGTTCGTTCACCCAGATGATTCATTCGTTTTGAACGAATCGTTCATCACCGACACATCACTAGACTGAACGCACTCCAGATTTTAAATCAAGACCGGTTAAGACCACCAATGAAATGTTATTTTACCACTTCATTACTGTGATTATAAGGAAAACACCTCTTTTTAAAAGAACAAATAATTTAAATTCATTCATTATTCCATTTTTATCCACCGCTTACGGTCGCAGCCTTCCCAGTGTTACAGTCTAAGTGAGTGACACGCCCCCCACACACAAGATGATCATTTTTTAGGGATTTTTATGGTCTTGGTCTTGGTCTTGTCTCGGTCTCGCCCTGCCTTGGATTTGGTCTCGACTCTGTCTCGATCCCTTAATGTCTCGTCTCGGTCTCACCCTTCCTTGGTCTTGGTCTTGACTTGGTCCAGATACCTAAATGTCTTGGTCTTAGTCTTGACTTGGTCCAGATACCTAAATGTCTTGGTCTTGTCTCGGTCGTGTCTCAGTCTTGGTCTTGGTCTCAATGCCTAAATTTCTTGGTCGTGTCTCGGTCTCGCCCTGCCTTGGTCTTGGTCTTGTCTTGGTTCTCGACACCTAAATGTCTTGGTCTTGTCTTGGTCTCGGAGTACTCTGGTCTCAGGTATGTCTTGGTCTCGGTTAGTCTGGTCTTGACTACAACACTACAGATACGCATCAGTTGGTCCTTAAATCCAAACTACATCTTGGATTATCTTTGGTTTTTAGATTATCGCTGACAAAACAGGAAATTTAATGATACCACCTCAGGTCCTTCACATTTTTGACAGACATTTTCTTTCTCTGTACTGATGCATTATAGACCAAAAGGTAGACCAAAGAAAATAATTGTCAGATCAATCACAAGACTGTTCATTTGATGAAGACTTAGTATTTTAAAGTCAGAAAGAAGACATACAGGAAAGGTGATATCACATCAAACAGACTGTAATGAAACACAGAACTGAATGGATTCCCCAGATAATGCTCTCACTTTAAAATCTTCCTCACAGATGACTCACTTTATACAAAATATCTCATCATAAGATAAGTTATCCAGCAATAAAGTGTCAGAGTTAGTTTCAAAAAAAGATGAAAAAATTAGCTGCTTAAAAAAAGTGTCTTAAAATTGTTCTATTGAATTCTTTTCATCAGGGTGAAAGTGTTGATTTTGTTTGTTTCCTTTTGACAAAATCCTAATGCTCAAACTAGATAACACTACTCTCATAATGACACTCAACTGCATCTTTTTTTAGAGATGTAAAATGCCGTCATCTGTCAAGCTATTTTTTTTTTAAATTGCTAAAAGTATTTAAAATATCTAATTGAAGTCAAGGACATCCTGATGAAATTGTCCAGAATATTTCTACGTCGTGAGAGCGCTCCATTCAGTAGTTTGGATTAACTAGATCTGACAGAAACTTCTGTTCACTGTTCTATTTGATTCACCTGAACATTATTTTGACCACAGCTGACTGTACATGAGTCTATACATTTCTTCTATATTTCTAATTTTAGAGATAGGACAGTGGATAGAATCAGAAAATTGAAGGAGAGAGAGAGTGGGGAACGACATCTGGGAAAGGAACCCCAGGTCAGATTCTAACCTGTAACTGCCCGCTCTGTACATGGGGTGTGCACACTAACCACTACGCTACCAGCGCCCTTTTATTTCGAATTGAACAACACAAAGCTATTAGCTTCTGTATCCTCGACAAGATGTTTTAATTAAATTTTAAGTTTTTAATTTCTATTTCAAGTTATTTATTTCATGTACGTAGATCTTCTTTCAAAATATAGTCTGCCATCTTGTGTATTCAAAACACTTATTTGAACACACAAGATGTTTTGTGCTTAAGTTTAAAAGTTGAAATAAAGTTTAAAAAAGAAAAAGCTCCATTCAAAGAAGACATTATACAGCTGTTTTTACAAACTGAGAATACTCAGCCTTAAGAAAAGATCTTGGTGTCCAACATTAGTGTTCATATCTAGAAGTTGTACAATCGTTTTGTTTCATCAATTTATTTTTATATTTAAAACTGGAAAAGGAAAAGTGTTGTAGATTCTGTCTTAAGACAACAAGAGGTTTTCTTTCTCTTACAGTTAAAAGTTGTCCTTACATTTTGGTTGGTGTACCAGTAGAGGCAGGACTCTTTGAGGATAAACCAGTACTTCCTCCATTTCTGTGTGAAGTAGCCTTTAGCATCCTTCTTCTTCCACAGCCAGCCCTCACAGTCACCGTGTCCCAGGTCCTTACAGGAGATTCTCCTCCGACTGGCACTAGTGAGGGAACCTTGAGCGGGAGGAAAAGACCAAGTCAAGACAGAAAGTAATTTTAATTTGGAAAGGAATGGAGAAAAGTTATAGTAAGTGAAGAATCCATGTTTTAAGTGGCTTGAGTCATGCACCTTCAGACTATATATGAATGTCTGGACTATTTTAGACTATTTTAGACTAAGTGTGCAGTAGCATCAGAAAAAAACATTTAGGTGTGGCAGTTTTCTTGCAAGAAAATGAGAAATGACATATTGTATTGAGCCGGTGCAGTATTATTCATTGTATTCCCATCTGAGAAACCAAACGCCTCGTTCTACCATAAAGTTTTATGTTAACTTGAGCAGAATAGTTACTATACATTACTGACCTAGACTACTGACTGAAAGTGACAGCTGACAGTGATCCTGAAACTAACATTACCTAATGTTAACTTGCTAATGTTAGCTAATAAGCACTCACCTCCGCTTTGATGATAAAGAATTTTTCCCCTCACTTCCAAAATGGCAATATTATTGACCCAGCTACATTTAACACACATTTAGCTCACCATTTAACACACATTTTAAAAAGTTTAAACGCTGTCATGCTCTCAGTCATATAACACCTAAAGTCTCTCAGTCTTAAGTATTCAAATGTTTAGACAGAGATCATTTTTGAGGTAAGGTTTGCTCTTTCTGGAGCCGTAAGAGTACAAGTACACTGGTAGAACGGTAAAGATGTTACACAAGATGATACATAGATAACGATTTAACATGTTTACCTTTACTTCGCTTTTTGGTTTTCGTTCTTAGAGATGTGTAATGGAAAGACTAGAGGGGAAGAGAAAAAGAGAGAAAGAAAGAAAACGCATCAGCTCAAACAAACTCAAACCAACTTTCTGGGTCGATGTTGATGCACAAAGAGAGGTTGCAGTAAGTTCACTCTAAGTGTTTGGCTTATTTTTTATTTTTATCAGGATCACAGGATTACAGGAACAGACGGATCACAATGATAAAACTGCTTCAGCCAGGAAGTGACCTACCTACAACCTGTGATGGAAATCTAAAAGCTGTCTGCCACAGAGACTGAAAGCACAGTGATGTAAGAAAAGGAATGAGCTGTATCAGCTTAGCTTGGACTTTGAACAATTTTAGACAATGTAATGCAGGTCCAAGGTTTTTGGTACAGGAACTTACATCATCCTCAGTCTGAGTGAAAAGACACTGCTGATGAAATCTGTAGTTAGCTAACATTAGCTAAAGTTAGCTTACATAAAATCTTACAATGCCCAACATAAGGTTCTGGTCAGACAACAACTAGTTCTCCTTTAATGCTAATGAATTAACATTTTAATTTGCAAGAAGAGGAGTGCTACACATCTTCTTTTAAAGCGTTATAATCTTATTTTAAAACTGAATTTGTGTATTGAATGTGTGTGCAAATACACGCATGTTTGACATTAGCTGATGCATCTCCAAGAAGCTAATGCTAAAAGGCTAAGTGTCTAAATGTATGAAGATCAGTACAGCCATATACACCTGCTGGATATTTATCTAGGTAACAAAGCCTGATACATTTCTGTTTATAGTCTACTGAGCTGACTCGCGGTGTGCTACCACCGACTGTGCTTTGCAGAAGATAAAGCTTAAGACAGCTTCCTGTTTTCACAGTAACCTAAATATTGAAACCGATTTACCTCAACCGACTGTTATGTTTTATTTAATTATAACAGTCCTGAATGGATTTATTCTCAGGTATCTATCTCATCCATGTCTGGCTGTACGATGTGTTTTGCTATTATTTGGACACAATGTCCCTGTAGCATTGGATGTGTTTGGTAGACTGATCAACCAAACACTAAAGTATCTCTTAAAGGGGTTTGAGTTAAGATCAAATGTACTTGATTAACAGTTATGTTTGAAAAATAGTGTTATTATGAATCTATCTATAAAAATAAAAAGAGATTCAAAGACAGCCTTGCAGCCCCGTCTACTGTCCTACCTTCCTCATGGAGGCCCCTCCTGAGCTTCCTGAGCCAGAGTACCTGCATGAGGACAGACAGGATAGAATGGAACCACACACCACTTCTTCCATCAATCACATGCATGTGGTTAAACCACAAACGAGCACTAACCCAGTACTCACCTGTCTGTTGTGTCAGCTCGCAGCGTGTCTGCACCTCGCTGAAAGACACAATGAAAAAAGATTCATTTAATGTGCTCCTAAAAAAAAACACATCACGAAGGGTAGGCTGGTAGTTATCATATTCTGTGTGTGCATGTAGGCCACTGCTTAAAATATATATGTTCTGTGGTTTCTCTTTTAAGCTTGTTTTTTTGGGCTCTATGCAGTATTTGATAGAACAGATGAAGATAGACAGGAAATGTGGGGAGAGAGAGTAGAGGATGATATGCAGCAAATGGCATCAGGACGGGCAGTCGAACCCCTGACCAGTGTGACGAGCACTGCGGCCTGTAAACATGGTGCATGTATCTAAAACCTACATAGACCTTTAAAATTGTCGGGCAGGATTTCTTCTTTGACTTCTTTTTTTAAATATCTCACACATATATACACTATGGTGCCAAAGAAGTAAAGTGCTATACAATTTAAGGGGCAACGAGCATTTTAAAATACTAATAATAAAATACTAGTATTTTTAAAGTTTTTTTAAGGGATAGACAACCAAAAGAGCTTTGACACACAAAACATATCTCACTTTCTTCCTCTATAAGATAACATTTTGCTTAAGAGCGTTTTCTTACATTATGTAATGTATTCATGTACACAAAGAAAGAAGCAATAAAACAACATTCAAGTTTTTGTTTTACATGTAGGACTCTTTTAAAGGTTTATTTCGGGGCTTTTTATGCTGTTATTAAGATATAGGACATTGGATAAAGTCAGAAATCTGGTCGAGAGTATGACATGAGGAAAAGGAGCCACTTGCGGATTGGTACACAGGCCTCCTCTCTGGAGGCCCACAGCCTCCATGCATGGGGCGCACCCACTAACCACTACGCTATGGCACCCATGTCATAGGATGTTTAAGGACTATTGAATCAAGCTTTTACAACTAGGGGCCATTAAAACTGAACATTAAAACTGATGTTATCACATTAACTTGTGATCTGATGTATTAATAGTCATATAATAAATAAAACAAAAAATCCATTTAAACTAAAGACTATAAAACAGTATTACTATTTATTTTCAGATAGTGTCTATCGTTAAGACAGCTTCACACCTGATCTTTTTAATCCCCCACTGACCCCTCTCTGACTGAAACAATATCAAAATATCAAAATCCTTAGATTAGATATTCAGAGGTCATTGATCTGAGGACTTAAGGGAGGGTCAGAGGTCCAGATGTCATGAAATGATTGTGTTGCTTGGGATGATCCTGAAGTCATTGTACAGTGTCCACTGACAACATGACAAAGAGATGAAACAATGTGCTTTGGCTAACATGTTGGTGTATTGTGTTAATAGAAAATGACCGGATGGAGTGAATGAGTGATAGAACACAAGCAGGTCATTAAGGATAGCCTATGCTTGTTAGTGTTAAATAGTGTACTTCATGTGCCACCGAGTAGGTATGAGTCACCATCATGATGAGCACACAGCTGGGAGGGTAAGAGAGGGCTGTGTTAGCTTAGCTGTTAGCACGCTGTGTATGCGTGTGTGTCTTTGCGTGCGCCGTGTTTTAAGCACAGTTTGTCCATCGTGCTTGTAATTGGTTCGGCTGATGCTGAGTCATACACCTGCTCACAGGGGTACGTGTTTGCTTGTGTGTGTATGTGCGTGTGTGTGTGTATGTGTGTATGTGTGTGTGTTTGTCCAAAATAAACTCCCATTTAGACTCAGGCGTGTCTGAGGAGATGGGGATAATAGGATGAGTTAGGACGAGTCGTGAGATGGATACCCAGCATACAAATGCACTCGTGTGTGTGAGTGTGTGTGTGTGTGTGTGTGAGAGTGTGTGTGTGTGTGTGTGTGTGTGTGTGTGTGAGAGAGAGAGAGAAGTTAGAGAGGGGCGTGTCTCTGTCATTCTCATAATCTGTGAAGCTGGCAGCCATGCAATGACACTGATCATCCTCTGACTCTCCTTTGTCTCCTCTATCTAACACACACACATACGCACGCACGCACGCACGCACACGCGCACACACACACACACACACACACACACACACACACACACACACACACACACACACACACACACACACACACACACACACACACACACACACACACACACACACACACACACACACACACACAACCACCAATGTGAGACTCTGTGAACACCATGACCTATCCTATCTGTCAACCACAAAGAGGACACAGGAATAAACAATGAGATGGAGGAAGTTGTAAAAGGCAGTGGGGGAGTGAGGTAACTTGGCTAAGTGAGACAATCAGGATTAAGGCCCTGACGTTACTTTAAGAGCCACTAAGAGACCTTCTACAAAACGGGCATTTAGACTTGTCCTTAAGCACGGTTGTTAATAGTGATATGACTGATGGCTTAATTACATTTGCTGACTGAGGAGGAGATATACCTTCACACTTGCTCAAATGCCACAAAAAGCTTTTATTCCATCACAATCACAATGTGTCGACCACAGGTCTTCTTCAGGGGATCATTTTTGACCTTTCAAATATTATCCCCTGAAGAAGACCTCTGGTCATGATGGCAAGTGTGCAGGCATATCTTCTTCCTCAGTCTGCTGTCTTTGCCCTCTTTTTTTGAATTGCATTTGCTGCCATGAGCCGGTGTTGGGCAGCCGGCTAGTGGTACCACTGTCATAACTTACTGAGATACCTGCATTCAACTGAATCATTGTAAATGTTTTCAATGTGCTTGTCTTACTCTGATAAGGTAAAATATTTGAGAAAATTTACTTTAAGCACGACAATCCCAAGTGACAACTCTATCCAGTATATGACATAAGATACATTCTGACTAATTGTTGTTTTCAATGAAAATGGTGATAATGTTTTACTACTCCAATATATTACGGGATTTATCCTACTTTTTACTAAATATTTTTACACCAGGTCAAGATTGTAACGACACATAATGTTAAAGGGAGAAAGTACAGCAGAAATCAAGTTTATCCTGAGTAAATGTCTCTCTGAGTCATGACTGTCTACAATGAGTGAGAAGCTCGAGTCCCACTGACTGTGTTGTTGTCAGAGCTGTGTTTACATCATGTTTATGTGGACGGGACGTCCTTGTGTATAAAGCTGTTTCAGTAAAGGACTAGAGAGAAGAAGAAAAACATACTCACTGCTTATTTGGATGTCACATGGGTGTGTTTAGATCACAGTCATTCTGTGTCAATCTATGTGCAATATGAAACTACGAGCTAACCAAAGTGTGCTAACATTAGCCTGCTAACACAACAATGCAGGCCACAGGCAATTGCTTCTCGAGCAAAGGACAATTTTGTCCGCCGCTAGCGCTTAATGATGCTTAATTATGGTGCGTTCTTATTGATAACTCCTTTGTGCGAACACGAGTAGAGAGGGGTTGGAGGTGCGCCACTGAAGGAGAGTGGAGGCTTCAGATTAGCGGAGGTGTGGCCAAACAGCAGTCTGTTTTGGTTTGGTGCTGGTGCTCAAGGGTGACATCTACTGGATCACAAAGTCGCACATTCTTTTAAAGCTTTTACACCTCTTACAAAATGCCATTAATCCTGTCTCATTACAAATGGCTGTAAGTTGTTGGCTCTTGAAAAAAGAGAGGTTGCTCCTTTTAGCATCTCGAATGATGATTACATTTTAATAACCGGGAAGAAAAGAAGAATACATTTATATTTCAAAAGCAAAGGAAACAGAGAAAAAAAAATTCCTAACAAGACAATTGTGAAGCAGAACTTTGAACTTCAAGTTGTTAAAACTAGGTTCAGATGCTACAACAGCAACATGCTAATGATGCATTGATGCTCCAGTGTTTACAAACTGAAGAGGTCATATATGATTATGTTTCAGCCACAGGGGCCAGACTTCTGCCAGACAAGCACATCTGCTTTTTCAAATTACTAATGTGTTATATTATAACATATTTTCTTCTTTTACTGAGTTGAACATTTAACAGAGCTAAATGAATCATTATTAATCTGTGTTATATACCGTATTAAGTTGCAGAACAACACACCCAGTACATGTTTATATTTAAAATAGAAGACTGTGTACATACAGGCAAAGCATCAGGGGGCTGGTCTAGGCGCAGGGTTGAAGACAGCATGGAGGGGCTGATGGGAAAGCTCGGGCTGCTGGGATTGCGACTCTTGCGACGAGAGCGTCTGGTGGAATCCCTCCGGCTCTCCCTGCCAGGACCCTCGGGCTCCTCCTCTATCACCAGGATCTTGTCGTCACTAAGGTAACGCAGCAGGGAATTGTCTGAATCTGTGGGGTTAAAGGGGAGCGCAGAGGGACGGAGCAGTTAGAGGATGGACAGGATCAACAGGATGGGTGACAGAAGGTGGAAAAGCTCTGGGGGGGGGGGGAGTCGAGGTAGAAAGCCTAGAGTGGAAACAGATGAGGGTGAAAAGACCCTCGTAAATAAAAATAAAAACCTAGAGAAAGGGATAAAAGAGCAGCAGATCTGCAGTATCTGTTATGGATCCACATCGAGGGACATACAGCTAATCTGTTTGCATTGATTATGTTAAATAATCTAAATCCTGTCAGTCACAGTTTCATTCCACTTCGGCCCCGGAAAGAAAAAGCTTTGCACATGATTTGGTTATTATTCATATACTTAAAAGTCAAAGACTAGGAAGTGATTTAGAGAAAAGGAGGAAGGAGGAAGGCAGACAACCGACAGTAGTATTGTGCCTTAATGTTATTCATGGACTTTCTGATGGTAGAGTGAAAGAACGTCGGTTGAATACAGATCGAGTCTCAACGCAAAACGTTGAAGCTGGTTAGAATTTGTCACATAGAAATACCCTCATTTCCAGAGCAGCTATATAAATGCAATTTCCTTGCATTTATGTTTGTTTGTCGCTCCGTCAGATACATACCTGACAGATATGTATCCTCACAAAACCACACCACCATGGAGAACCAGAGGATGAGCTGAAATGCGTTGAGCAGAGTATGGAGCGAGGCAAAGAACCAGTCTGACCTGTTTTAGTAAGTGTGAGAGGGTTTCTTTTTTTTGAGTGCGTATGTGTTTGTGTGTGTGTACCTCGGCTCCCTCTCTTGCCCATGCTGGGTTCCTTGGGCTCGGTCATCCAGTTATATTCAGGGGGCATGGAAACAGGCCTGAGATCACCTGGAACAACCAATTAGCAATCAGAGAGTTTGCTAGGGGGGGAGGGGGGGGGGGGGGGGTGTCGCAGGAAGGCGTTGTCTGAGAGACATCGTGGGAGACAGCTGGAGGGGAGGACAGGTGAGACAGTGTGTGCAGGTGAGGGGGGAGGAACAGGAGACCCTCAAGGGACCACTACGAAATGCAAGGCAAATGTGACATGGCCATACGATAAGGTTATAGCATCAATTAGTGCTCTGTTTACAGTTGGTAAATTAGAAAAATCTGGGCCCCTACAATATATAAAGTGCCTTAATGCATTCTGGGTAAAAAAAACAACCGTTCTAAGAAAGGCTATAGGTTTGTATAAAATGTTTCAAGTTGTAACACATCAGTATGAATTGATTGTTGATGGAGATAGCTTCGTGTTAAAGCTGTATCTTCTTCATTTTTCTCCAATCCAAGTAGAGTTTAAGATTTGATTTCCTGGACTGTAAATCCAAAAATGTATTACAAACTGTGTTCTAACGAAGTAAAAAGAGAGGATAAGAGTAAATGGTTTAAAAATGATCTTCAAAGCCTCATTAGTTGATTTAGTTAGGCTTGTGCAGAAGCAAAGTAAGCGGAAATTCTTTTGTCAGATTGTTGATTAAATGTGTTATGGTGAACAATTGCCCGTTTACACTTCATTTACACAGAAACATTTTGTTTACGGCCATGTTTGTGTTCGTGGCAGCCGTACACATGCAAGCTTCAGATACACTTTCTTTTTAAGTCTCTCTAAGACTTTTTTTTTTATTATTAAATATTTTTGGACTTTTTATACCTCCATCAGAGAGACAGGACAGTGAATGGAGTCGGAAATCGGGGTGAGAGAGAGAGTGGCTAACTATATGCGGGAAGGCAGCCACATGTGGGACTCAAAACCCCGGCCACCCGCTTTGAGGACTACATCTCTGTACATGGGGCGAGTTAACTAACCACTTGGCCACTGGCTCCCCAAGATACACTTCCTTTTTAACTCTTTTTCACCACCAGCTCTTGAGGGGAATATGGGGTTCTTTGGCAGAGTATCTGCACAGCTGATCTGTTTAAAAGCTAACTAGAAAATGCATGGTCACTGTGTCTCAGCATTTTCTATTAAAACACCTGTTCTGAATGAAAAGGTGAATTAAAGGTGGCAAAGTTTGCCAAAACAATGGGCTAAAAGAAGCTAATTGGCCACGATGAGTACAACAAACATTAATTAGCAAAGCCTTTAATGTGGTTTTACATCCAGGTATGTTGAGCTCTACTCCATTGACAAACTTCTGTATAAGTGGACTTGAGCTAGCAGGCCCCTCTATATCAGTTTTGCATTTTCGGCCGGCCACATTACCCTTGCTTTGCACATCATAGGCCCCTTGAGATTCTCCCGAGACGGCACAGGATGTCTGGGAGGCTCTCTTTGAAAAGGTTGACACAGGTGGTGGGGCAGACAGGGAGCAGGAGACAGCGTGTTTGGACTGACCCTTTGGCATGTGGTAAGTGTTTCAGGACGTGTGACGCAACATAAGGACACAAAGAAGCAGAGCCATGGGGGCGGAGTGATGAACACATGAGGAGGAGCTTGGAGAAAAAGGTGATAACAAATAAAACTGGTGGGAGAGAACATGCTGCTCAATTACACAAACTGGAGACCAGGGGCCTTTACTGCCCCATGCATACTGTGGAGCCGCACTCTCTATCTCACCATGGGTGGGGGTCTTGTCACGCCGGCGAACCCCTGTATTCCGGCCCCTGTCATAGTCAGGCCCCGGTGGTCCGTCTCCCTCCAGCAGGGAGAAGAACTGACCGCTGTCCTGGTCCAGGTAGTAGCTGACGGCCTCGGAGCCTTTGGAGCCGGACTGGGAGCTCACGCTGTAGCGGCTGATGTCGTCACATGACATCAGACCCATCTCCTCCCTGAGGAGAGCAGCGTTGTCATCATCTCTGTCATCAGCGCCGTCATTACAGTCATCAAGCAGGATCGTGATAATCAGCGTAATCACCATCATCAAACGTCTGTGTGAGGAGAGTGTCTGACCTGGTGCTGTAGAGTCCAGAGACGGGAGAGAGGATGTAAACGTCCTGCATGCTCGGGGCGTCCATCTTGGACATCCCCAAAGTCCCACCGGGTGTAGGGGAGGTGCTGGTTGGGCTGGTCGGGACAGGCTGAAGGGAGAGACAAATCTCTATTTTAGCACCTTTTTTTTTTCTCAACTTTAATTTGAGGATGGTTTAGGACTCATTTTTTTCTGCCTCACAGAAAAACAAACAAACACAGTTTATGGTGTTACAAGGAAAGAAAAGCTTTTATTTGAGCTTTCTTTCTTGTACTCGTTTAAACACTGAATCACAAACACGAGTTGTTTTCACTGAGCTGCTGTGTTTTGTGTGTCTTTTTTTTTTTTTATATCTGTCTGACTGTGCAGCCTTTTCCCACGTTCAATCCCTTCTCTATTCTGTCATTTTGTTTCAACTCTCTTCACTCACACAGGGCTCTCCATGTCTGTTCCCATGACAACCTCTCCTCTCCACTTCTCGCTATTCCTCTATCCTCACCCCCTCTCCCCTCTCTCTCGCTCTACAGGAGAAGGAGAGGACAGAGGAAAGATAGCATGGCCTCCTCTTCCTACCTCAGCTTGACTCAAGGACATGTCGTTTCATTTAGTCATCGGGTCCTCCATGAGGACAGGGTGCCTTTTTCCTCTGATGTCATGGAAATTCAGTCCAGATTTCAAGTGTGTGATGTTTGTTTTCAGTCGGAACAGCTGGAGGGACAAATGCAGATCATGCCAAGAGATTTCTCCCAGTGGAAGAAGCTTTTCAGATTTTGAAAAATGGGATGTTTTACTGTATGTCTGAGAAGGAAGCTCCATTTTAGAGAGGAGTGTGGACAGAATGGATAAACAGAGACGGAGCCTGAGTGATGACGAGGTGGGCAGCGTTCTCATTAAAGAAGCCCAGCGTTTCATCATTTCATCAGCGGTACATTAGGGGGCAAATTCATTTCATATTCCAAACTTTCCATCCTCTGCTCTCCATCCCTCAGCACCACCCCCCCCCCCCCAAAAAAAAACCCTGTCTCTATCTTTATCACTCTCCCCCTCTCTCTCAGTCGTCCTCTTTTGAAGGCAGCTTACAGTAAGACAGCCTAACAATAAATAATGAAGTCGAGTTGGAAAGAGAGGGACATGAGAGAAAGAAGGGAGCGCAAAGGAAATAGGACAAAGAGAGATAGAGAGTGCAGGAGAGGGAGAGCGAGGTGGGGGAGCTGTTCAGTGTGCTGACTGGAGCTGAGAGTGAAAACAGTAATTTAGTGATTACAGCACAGTGCTGCCTGCATGGAAAAGGGGGGGGGGGTTGGAATAGAGAGAGACGAGACCACCATAGCAGGCGAAAATCCAGTCTGTTAAAAAAGCACTTAAACCATTTGACCCCTGCTGCATCCACATTAAATTACCTTCAAATCTACTTCTGAAATCTCGCCCACACAGGTGTTCCACCTCCCTCCCCACCATCTTTATTTACACACATGCAAACACTTTAACATGCTGAACATTATATTTTGACCTGGTAAAGGGCTTAAAGCTTCAAAAACTGTACAGAACTGGGTCTACATGTTGCACTGAATCATGGGCCCTTCTTTTGTGGCTTCAGGCAAACAAACAAATACAGACTGACAGGTCACTCACAGGTAACACATGTTAGAAGGCCAGTAAGAGGTCAGGCTGCCACAAAAGATCCCAGAGACAACGAGAGATTTGGGTGTGCTGTCCTGAAAGACTTTTGTGCACTTTTTTGGTAGAGGTGCAATCTGTCTGCAAACCGGTCAAATTCTGTTCATATTGAGCCTTATCAATACACCGTGCAATATCTGTTTAACACAGCTCATTGTGTGTATTCAGAATTGTAAATATTGTTTTTTATCTTAAGTCACTTGCGCTTTGTACATAGCTTATTATCTTATCTTACTTGGGAATTGGTTCTTATTTTATTGCTTATTTTATCATCTCTATTCTATTTTATTTTTACTTTTTAAATTATTTCTTTATTTCCTTCTGCTGTTTTTTGTTTAACAACAGAATTTCCCCCTGGGATTAATAAAGTATTTCTGAATCTGATTCTGATTTATTAAGATAGAAGGAAGAGTGCAGGTGATGCTGAACACAATGAACACTAGGTAAGCTCTGACTTAGAACCTGAGACGTTTCTTTAAATAATACTGATAATAACATCTGAACTCTTAACCTCAACTCTTTTGACAAACTGCAGTTTCTGACCAATTGTTAATTTTGACCACAGAGCATCATTTGGATTAGACATTACATTACAATAGGCACAAAAATGTCACAGAAATAGACCAAAGAATGTACTGTATGCAGACATCAAAGGCGCTACAACCCCTCACCTGCAGCAGGCCTTAATAATACATGAGTTGTCTAAAATAGCACACAGAGCACTTATTTAAATACCTTCACATATAACTAATGATATGAAAGCGAGGTCACCGACCATGTGTGTTACACGTGTGACCAGGGAGGTGAGCTGTGATGCCCATGCTGATGTGGCCTTCAGGCTCAATTACAAAGAGTCCCTACACTCACATTTTGGAGAAGCACAGGAAGCCTACACGGTGTTCCCTAACTCTTTTGTCAAAATCATTGCTAGCATCCTCGTTATCAGAGTGTATTTAATTTAGTTTACTCCATTGTTGAAAGCAGACACACATGAAGACACAACGGCAAACGCGCGCACACACACACACACATTCATAGGGAAAAATAGAAAAGGAAACAGAGAGAGATATGTTTTGTTATTTAGAGGAATTAAAGAGGTTGCCATGGAGGGATTTGGAGCTGGAATCACGGGATCATTTTTCGAGATAAACTGTTGCCTTTGTGGATTTAGTGATAATCCAGCCATTTGCCACATTTGGGCCGAACTTCACAGAACTAAAAAAAACCTATCTTCTTAAAAGAGGCTTAGAGGTAGGAGTGCACATGTGTTTGAATGTGTGTGTGTGTTTTTGTTAGTGTGTGCATACAGTTTGTATTCAAGTACAAGTGCACTGACCCAGTTCCTTCACCTCTCAAAGGAGCAGGACAGATAAGGGATGCATCGCACTGCATGTGTGCACATGTATGCACAGAAACACACTTGATTTGACACAAATGGTTAGACAAATCATAGGGCCATGTGCTTAGAAATGCACACACACACACACACACGCACGCACGCACACACGCACACACGCACACACGCACACACACACACACACACACACACACACACACACACACACACACACACACACACACACGCACACACACACGCACCACAGGCTGTTTAGCAGCATATTTTGGATTCAGTGCATTATCTCCAGTATTTGCTGAGTAGCAGCTCTTGTTTCGGAGCCAGTGGAGCTGCCTGTAGTTACTTATGAATAATTAAGAGCTCCAGTCTTTCTGAGAGAGAACAAATCTAAAACATTCCTTTCTTCCTTTCTCCCACAGATATCTCTCCGCTCTGATCTCGGCGCTCACGGTGCATTCATGCCTTAGCAGAACCATCAGGGTAGAATTCCCACAATCCTCTGCTGTTGCGCACACACAGTCAATGTAACAAATGGAAACAAACTTAGAGTGCTGATCCAACAAGGCAGAAACCTCATTACAGACGGAGATGGTAATGATGTTGCTAAAAAGGCTCTATGGTTATAACAGGGGTTTTAATGTTTTCTAGACAATTATATAGAAATCATATTAGCCAAACCTTCATGACAACACAGAAGCACAAGTGAACATGCACGTGTAGTGTACAGCTACACACTGCATTTATAAGCTCACAGATGTGTAGACACAAGACAGTTGCTGCTGCACAAAGCACTCAGGCAGCATCAGATTAGCCCTCGCCTCACTCCTCTGTCCGCCTCGCAAAACTATGTTCAATGCGCACCAAAAAAAATTGCTCAGAGTGAGAGAGGGATTTAAATAGTATTTGCCCTTGAGTGAAATTTGTACATTTGTACATCATTTGTACATCTACTCTGAGCTGTAAGCCCTTAAAACAAGGATCCAACATTTGAGATAAATACTAGATTGTAAATGGACTCTCTGGTGGAAAGGAGATGTCCACAAGGGCAAAGGTCGATGTATCAGTGCTGAGGTCTTATAGATATGAGAGAGAGAGAGAGTGGACTGGTACTTTCACTGAGCCTGCACACGACCTCGTGGCAGAACGATCAGGTCATATTACACCATTTAAATCATTCATACTACTAAGATCTAAAAATGTATGCTTTTTGTAAGCACAAGTTCATTTAAGGTGGCGGTGGAGCAACCAACGCATTTGTGAATGGCTTTGAGCTGTGCCAGCAGAACGGCAGGCTGCAAAAATACTCAATAGGAGAGTATTGATGGAAGGTCAAACAGGAACTTTTGTTTTTCAAAATACTGGTAGAAGAAAGGAGAGCGTGGGCAGCGGGAAAAAAAGAGCTAAGAGTGAACCGAAGATAAAGAAAGAGATACAACACATCTTACTGTACAGAGTAAAATATCGTCCCACCTCCAACACCTAACTGTAAGCACAGGTAGTATGCACATATGAGAGCACATAGAGGATTTTGAGAGTAGACACATTGCAATTTTCTTTGCTTCAAAAACAGTCATGTTAGGAGAGCATTGTGTCACAACTCGCTGCACAGCCTCCGTGTGTTGCCCGTTTACCTGCAGGCCCAGAGGTTTCCAGCGGACGTTCCTGAGCAGAGCTGGAGTTGAGCTCAGGGTATTCTGGGGCCTTTTCTTCAGCGTGAGGATGACTCCGCACGGGTCCTCTCTCAGAGCGTTGACCAGATTCTTCAGCTGCCAGCCCACCTGAGGAGCACACACACTGGGCTACCAAACTGCCACCACTACACACCTCTCTCCGTTCATGATTCAGCGTGGGCATCTCCCCGTCCTCTCTGATGAAAACCACCAAGCACATGTAGACTCCTAAACTGTTACTACAAACCACCACACAAGGGGTCATGACCCTCCTCCCCCCCCCCCCGTCTCTAATACCTCTACATACTGTTCATTATTTATTTATTTTTGGACATTTTTGCAAAGACAGCTGAGAGATTATTTTAAGGTCTCCAGTTATGGTCCGGGATGTATCAGTCATAGTCTACAGCTCCCACAGGATGCTAATTGTTTAAGATCACAATAACAATCTTTTACCTACAAATTATTTTCAGGTCTGAAAGTCTTGATGGAAAATTCCCTGTTTGATAAATCCCTTCAAATGTCTAACAATCCCTCCCTTTGAAGGCGCTAATCCGAGACACTTTTTGGGTAATGTCCAAAAAGTATGGCTGCCATCAGAGAATTAAGATAATCGTGTGTCACTATGTGTATATTTCAACAGTTTATGTTAAAACTAGTGGTAACAGTGCAAACAGCAGCAACAACAGAGAACTGGTTATTTTAGGCTCTGAATGTTGAGAGTACAAGTACAAATATTTATTTAGTAAACAGAACGAGCTAATAATTTTCTTGCATTGGACCAAGCATGACTTCATATATTTGTGGGCGTTGAAGGGAACTGCAAAAAGTCAAAGCGACTACGGGGATCATTGTGTAGTTTGATCCAGATGCACTTTTTGGATTTTTCATGAAAAACTTGAAACATCACCAAATCTAGAAAGACTTATTCCACTTATAAACTTTATCCACACTTTACCACGCCAGCAAAACACCACCACCATGCATCACACTGTCTCACTACCACTATTCGGACAATGGTGTCATACTAAAATAAAGCTTAGTCAGCATTTTTTTTTTTTTAAGTTCCGAGGGAGAGGGCAAGATGGTAGAAGAGCAAGATAGGAGTGCTGACTGCAGGGTTTCCTCATGTTCCGGCCAGCCTGTCTCCAGAGCTCACAGCACTCGTCAGACCATTGATTGGCTACACGGGTCTCAGCTACTAGAAGTGTCCGCAGAGGCCGCCATGCTTACACACACTCACCAACACACAGACAGAACTGCTCTGACCTTATTCCTGACATAATGATGACCAGCTGTGTCAGCTTTTGTGGCATGTTTCCTGTTCTGTTTGGCTGGTTTTTAAAATGTCTGGGTTCAGTCAGCGTCAACAAGAGCGTCACAGACATGAGCTAATGCTTTATGTTGTGTGATGCTTAGGCCACTAAAACCAAAGGGAGTACAACAAGGACACACTACCACTCAGCAGGACAACCTTCATTCATAAAATAAGATTTACAAATGAAACTGTTCAACCGTCTTATTTCTGCGTTACAAAACAGGACTGGGTATAAAACAAGCTCTCCTTAAAGAAATCTGTCTGCACGTCATGTAAAATAGCTAGCAAAAAAAAGCTCACTTTTCTGCCATCTGCATTTGCGGATCTTTTTACACATTTGTCGATCTGTGTTCGCATTTTCAAATAGTTTTGCCACAATAATAGCTCCATATGTTTCCTATTTCTTGATCAACTTATAATCAGGTGTACGTGCTTCTAGTCCCTATGCTAAGCTAAGCTAACCCTTTTCTGACTGTAGCATAACCGCTTAGCAATTCTCAAACCGTAAAGTTTTAAGTCAGACTGTAAACATTGACCGACACATGGAAAAGGAAGTCTTGGCCAAAGTCATTTTTAGTGCTTATCAAAAAAGTGCTGGCTTCATCAGAAGACACAAAAACATAGCTGCTTCTCATGGAGAGGCTTTAATTTATAAAATGATTATAACTGATGGGTTCCCGGCGAAAAAGCCAAAAGCACATTTCCCAAAATGAAAAACTAGTCCTTCAAAAATGTCTAAATTCTCAAAGCCTTTTCCATGAAAACTCAGGTAATTCATCGGCACGCGCATCGCCCAGCATTCAACAGAAACTTCATTTTAATACAGCAAATACTGATGACCTGTGAGTGAACTGAACTGTGCCTTCATAACTTCTCCACTCTCGTAACTTCCAACACAAAAGTGGACGGAGCACATAGACAGCAAAACAGCAACCTAACCAGGCCACTTTAAAAAACGCTTCTGTTATGCAAATATGCAGATAACAGAGAGGGAACAGGGAAACCTACCAAAAAACAATAATAATAGAACATAAACTGCTGCTGAGGAGGGTTTCTTTTTTTTTCTATTCCCGTGGGTCTTCATTATTTTCCCAGATGCTATTACCTCCACATAATTATGTTGCCTCTTCAAACAATCAGTTTGTTTTTGAGCAAATTCCACATTTACCTCAAAAGAGAAGCCGAGCTTAAAAAAACTGGGAGCTCTGTTTTGAAGTGGTTCTCAAACAGAAGCTCATGCATAGACATGAAGGCAGCGCTGTAGCTAAAGACGTGGGTTAGGCCTACATAATGATTCCATAATGTAATGGAATTTGTTCAATACTCACACTAATCTAATTTTTGAATATGGAGTCTTGCTAGATAAACTTATCAGCTGAGATGTTGACAGAGAGTTTGATACTTGAGTGTATCCATCTTCCCCTCTTCAGCAGCTCGATTCGGAGTCTCCTCCCTTCTCCCCCCTTTCCTTTCATCAGCTTCCTCTTCTCCTTAAGTCTCTCTTTACTTCCTCCTCCCTTATTCCCTCCACTCTCCCAGCTCTGTGACTTCCCAGCATCCCCCAGACTATTTCAACCTCCTTTTTCCCTTTCCACATACACACACCTCAGCCTCCCACTGCTTATCTCCTCCCCCAGGGTGAGGGATCAGAGTGGTGAGGGTCTAGCGGTGGGAGTAATGAGGGGTTGGAGCTGTGAGCCTTGCGGGGTGCGATCTGCACTGTCACCTCGAGGAGGGAGAGCGGGAGAGAGATAACGCACGGCTCCCCTCACGCGTCAATCAACTAGCTCCCCGCGCGCCTGCATGCACGCTTTCACATGAGCAGCACCTACCGAGACGTACGAGGAAAATAGCAAGTAAAAGACGTCTACAAACAGATTAAACCTTTTTTTTTTTCTTCCCCTCCTTGGAAATCTCAAATAAACGCTGGAACAAATCGTTTGTGTCAGAGCTGATAGAACAGGCAATAGACAGCGCACTCAATCACATGCTCTCACAAGGCATCGCTCCATGTAAAATGGCTGCTCACTTGTGCGCTTCCTTCTGCTGTGATGATTTGAAGGCAGAGACACAACTTGTTCAAGTCTGAAAGTGGAACATGAGTGCACATTTCAAATCAGACGCCTCCTTCAGGGGGGTTCTTACGACAATGGGAGCAAATTCCAGAAAAGAGTGAGCTGACAATCACGCTTGGACCTGAACAAAGGTCTCGTAACATTCGTCCTATTATCTGCTCCCGGAGCAGGTTCTAATTAGCCTACATAGCAACACAGGCACAGGACAGGAAGCACCATGGTGGCAGTGGTGGCAGTGGTGGTGGAGGTGGCAGACATCATGTACCTTGACATCTCCTCAATATAGCACAGAATGGAGAACAAAAAAGGCAGTTTGCAGTGTGTATTCACAGTGGAAACACATTGAAAATACGTTTTCTGTGCTTCTTTGGTTGGGTTGGAAGCATTCAGACTCACCACTGTCTGGTGGTTGACTTGGATCACCTCGTCCCCTGCATGGATCTTCTTACACAGGTCGGCCGGAGACTGCAGAGGCAGACAAGAAAACGGAGAAGAAAAGGACAATGAGAGAGGATTTGAGATAGACTGAGGTGTGGGTGCAATGCCATAGCAGAATATAAAAGCATAAATATGTGGTGGCTTCAGACTTAGTGTACAAAAAAACTCACATTCTCTGTGGTTCCTGTGATGACATGGAGTCCATCATACGTCGATTTGATGTACATCCCCTAAAATACAAGAGCACATGCAGTGAAATAAGATTCAGTATAACGCAGCATACACAGGGGGGAACACACAATGTGAGCATTTTCAACATTTTGAAACTCCTTCCATGTCTCTGTGTGTTTCTGGGCCAGCCTTGGTCTTGTGTGTGTAGTCTAGATATGACTCACAGAGAGGTAACAATGTAAAGGAATGACATGCTGGACCAAAGATTCAACACTCCTCGTCACAGATTCTCACAGTCCCAGAGAAGATATATATTGTGTGTTTTGATGATGGAAGAGTACGTGTTCAGACAAAACTCCCTCTGGTGTTCAATTGGGTCGACTTTAAAGACTTTAGTTTTTTGGTTCACATCAGTCTGATTGTCCTCAAAGCACTTAGCGACGAATCAATCTGATTGTTTTTTTTTACACCTCTAAAGCCTCTTAATTCTTTAAAGCAACCACATCAGGTTCTGACCAGGTGAATTCCCATAACAATAAATAAAGAATAAGCTAGCAAAAGGAAGGCATTGTATATTTATACACCTTGAACATTTAATTATTAATCCTGGGCATTGAAGAGACTCGGGACCTGGTTATGTAAAAACACTGTTAACTGCTGAGAAAGGAAAATGTTTGGGCTGTAGAAACAGTTCTAGTAGAGTAACTGTGCACTACATACTAATGAGGACATTACTTAAGTTTGTCCTCTGGGGATAGACTTCACCTAGCTAGAACATGACAGCAACATACATTTCAGGGGCGTTTGGAAATGCAACATCGTCATACTTTGACCTTATAAAGACGTTTTGACGAGGGAGTTGGCAAGAAAACCGAAAAGCTGAAAGATGGCATGCTCGTTAGAGATAAGGAGAACTGCAAAGTGAGGTAATAAACGTTCATAAAGGGTATTTCCTATTACAGATTCCATGCTTGGTTTGGATGAGTATATTGATCAGTGCATCTTTAAGCTCTGGTGGAAAGCATGTGTGGGCGTTCTCCACTGTGTCCTCACCAGGCCTTCACTGGGCATGATGCTGGTAAGGTGGACCACCTCCAGATGGGCGGACTGAGAGACCAGAGAGTCAGACGAAAGAGAGATGATGTGGTCACATATCCCCGCTAAGGTCTTACACTGGAGATGTCATCAGAGGTAAAGATAGCAGGAGGGAAAATATGACAGCGAGAGAGAGAGAGAGAGGGGGGGAGACAAAAAGAGAAAGACAGAAAGTTATTGAGATTGGTTTGGGTCCGCGAGGGATGCTGTGACCTAGCTGGAGGAGGTGAAACAGAAATCATTTCATCAGATTGTTCCACATCGCCACTTCCATCGCTGCGGCACACAAACTGTTTCCTGTCACAATCAGTCCAGAGGCATGCCCACAAGACACCGTCAACAGACAGGACAACACATCTACCGATACCAGCCAAACCCTGCGGAGCCCCAATGACATTTCCTAACATCTAAATTACAGAGCACAGATTCCATTTGTTGGGAAGTGTTATTTTTTTTTAAGAAGATAAGGGCAACATTTTTTACCCTCAAATCACTTGAATACATCCAGACGCAGTTTGAAGATGATCTATGCTGTAATTGTTTTTACACTCCTGTACATCTAAGCCAGTGCATGGCAAACAAAAAAACATGGCTTCACCTTCGCTTTGTTCTAAGAAGCCTCCTCGGCTGTTTTTTCAGGCTATTTGTCTGCCTGGTCACGCATGCAAGTTAATTTATCTACAGCGGCATCTCTGCCTTCTAATCTTGGCTGACTGACTAGAGTGGGCTCACAGAGACGGTTACCCTAGTTATCTTGCATCATTGCGTTGCTACTTAGTGCACATCACACACACACACACACACACACACGCACACATGCACACACACGCATACACAAATGCACATCCATACGCTGGCACATTACAGACAAACATGTAAGAGAATATACCTAGGCTAGATTTACACAAGCGGAGTGAAAGTGATGAACTCTGCGTAAAATAATCTTCTGATCTCAGTTCTAATGAGCAATTACTAGATTAAAGTGATGGAATGAATAGAGATCTTTAACACACACACACACACACACACACACACACACACACACACACACACACACACACACACACACACACACACACACACACCATAGCTCAGAGCCTATGATTCATTCATTGCAAGAGAAAGGTGGAGGATCTCCAGTGAGCCGGCCATGTGATGTGATGCTTCTGCTCTCTCTCTCTCTCTCTCTCTCTCTCTCTCTCTCTCTCTCTCTCTCTCTCTCTCTGTGTCTCTCGCTCACATATTCATAAATACCATGCATCCCCTTTCTAGGTCAGTTATTTGAACATTACACTGCCTGTTTAATTTGTTTTGTTTTTTTACAGTTCTGTCAACAAGTACACATTATATAACGGGATACCCAGGCTGCTCATGTCATCCACACACTGACCTTTGGTTTTGAAAAAAGGGGGAGTAGATAAAGGAGGGTAAAGTAAGTATAGGGAAAGGAAATCCCCAGTATATCTAATCCTGTCTATAGAGCTATAAATAGCATGTGAAGTTCCCTGTTGAAAACCTCAAGCGACACTTGAGTGGCTCTGCTTGTATCCCTCTTTGATCATAGTTCTAATAGCCTGACCTGGGATTATCACGGGCTGAGAGACAAAAGGCCGGTGACCGGCTCCTCCAGATGTGACACACCCTGCCTTGATCTGACATGCCTCTGGAGAATCAGAGAGCACATTATAGTTAACTTATGTGGCTATAGCTGGCGTGAGATTTAAGAGCAGTGAAACAGAAAGCCAGACGTACTCGGCTGCCAAATGGATTAATCTCTCGCTCCACACACTCTTTCTTCCTCAACAGCTCGCACCTTTTTTCTCTCACACACACGCGTTAACATGCGAACACACACTGAAAGCAGCACCTTCACATGCTTGAGAATACATGGTGCGGAAAAATATGAACCTGACCGTAGACATAGTGGGAATGAAGAGAGGGAGGGTGGAAGAGAGGAGCAGGGAGGCAGGGAGGCAGGGAGGTGGGAGGTGGGAGGGGGGGGGGGGGGGGGGGGGAGTCCGAGAGGAAAGGGGAGAAAACAAGGGAAAGGAAAAACACACAACTAGGACAGTCTTATGTAATTCCCCTCATCCTTATGCATGCAAGCACATAAAAACACACACATATTCATACACACTTCACGCTCCATCACACACACAGACTCACACATGCTCATATCTGATCTCTGTGTTCCCTCTCATACACACACACACACACACACAGGAGGACACACACAAAATCACACAGTTTCCCTGTCCATCTGATCGCTGCAGGCCCGAGTCTGGAGGAGAGCAGAGGAGCAGTGAGTTTTGCATTATTGAGAAGAAGCTGACAAACGTATGACTACCATTACAGTAGCAAAGGCAGCGCTGACCTGAGCATTAAACAGTGTGTGTGCAGAATGGATGCTGGATACTCTCCTTATACTGTGTGTCTGTCTCCATCAAAATACAAACACACTTTACTTATTTCAAACTGCCAACAGCACCATGTGAATAAACTCCAGTATGTCCTGTGTTTATAAAGAAAATCTGTAAAAGTATTTAAGAAATATTCTACTTACTAGTTATTGTACAAGAATTCCATAAGTATGATAGTTATAAAATAAGAAATCTGAGCAAATTATTTTGAGATATCAAAAGGAAAATGCGATTTTTATATTATTTGATGTAAGCAATGCAATAACACTAAAGCATCATATTAATGCTGTAGCAGATCGATGTATTTCTACTTTTGACTTCTGTAAAGAAGATATCATTGTCCTGTTTTTGGTCACTACAGTCTAAATAACTAAAAAACTGTGTTTATACACAAAATATTCACCATCCCTGCATTTTCTGATAATTGGCTAGTTGCTTATTAGTCAGCTAGTAGTTTTGAATTATAAGTTAGCTAGTAGATGTTTTTAGTTCCCCTGTAGAAAGTTATGAATCTGCATTAGCTAACTGTGGGTGTATAGATGGTATCACAGTTAGCTTGATTAAAAATGTGTCCAAACCCAGTGCTTACATGACAATGCTGTATGAAAATTAAATGAAAAATCCTAAATACAGATTATTTTCCATGTATAAAAACGTTTTTTTTTTTATCTTCAGGAATTGTAATTGGCTTTTAGGTGAGCAGTTTTCACATGCTTGAGAACACAAGGTGTGGCAAATATAACAGCTTTATGCATCTATTTCGCAGTGAGTTGGTGATTATTATCCAGTTACGTAATAAGTTAGCGGATAGCTACCCAATTGGTAGTCAAGAACACAGAGAGCGGAGTGCACGAGACCGAGACAAGACCAAGACCATAAATATCACTAAAAACCAGGGGGTCCAAAATCTAATTATGAATTCAATGAAGTTATTTGTTCTTTTAAAAAGAGGTGTTTCCCTTCTAATCACAGTAATGACTAAAAATAGCCTGTCAGTGGTGGTCTCGACCAGTCTTTAAAATCCAGAGTCCACCCAGTCTGAGACCGAGACAAGAAATACTTTTGATTCCAAGACGAGACTGAAACCTTCACTAGGTGGTGAACACTACTAATTAGTAACATTTATTTTAATGCCATGTTACAATATAGAGTCTCACAAAAAGCCTACAGCAAGTTTCACAAAGAAATGTGCAAACCTAAAGACAGACATTCATCAACAAATATTTGAAAGAACTTATTTAGAACAATTGACATGCAATTTCTGTATGTAAAATCAGTTATATATAATATATAGTGTTGTTAATATCAAGCAATAGTTAGCATATAATGTCCACTTTGAGTCTTTTAACAGTGAGTTCGTCACTCTCCCTCTTCTTATAATATAAATCTATCTTTATTTGTGTAGCACCAGTTCATAACAAATGTTTTCTCAAGACACTTTATGAAAAGAGCAGATCTAGACTGTCCTCTTTGTTTCATTATTTATAAAGACCCAACATGATCCATCATGAGCACAGCATGATACGTGAGTGTTAAAAGGCATAATCTCAACTGTGATCATTAGCTACAACCCATGTGTGTATGTGTGTGCGCGCCTCGGAAGTTTGAAGATGTATTCACTCCTATTTGTGTTGTGTAGGTTTAATGTCCGAGTCACTTTATTCATTTCTAAAACTCAAAGTAACAACTATCAGTGAGGAGGCATTATCTGAAATCAAACACCTCCTCCTTCTCTGTCACTCCCTTCTTGCTGTCTCCTTTTCTCACACATGAACCTCCCACACATTACACACTAAGTAATGTGTGGGTAATGTTTGTAGTAATGTTTGTGTGCACACATGTGCAGAGCCATTTTAAGAATGTGGATGTGTCATTAACAGGCGTTTAACAAGAAAGGTAAACAGCAGCCATAGTTCAACAACCTAAAAGCTAAAGGGGGGAGTTATGTTGACACGGGGGACATTGCACTGTGTTGGGGTCAACATAATACTTGTTTATAAAAGAAATGCTAAATGGAATATCACTCTTCTGACAAAAGATCTGAGCTGGGATTTATGACTTGGCATACCATTTCAGATGATTTTTTCGATTAACTTCCCCTGCCAACATTTTATTTGGTTTCCTCCACCTGACCTTGAATGGCAGCAGGAAGTGTCCCAAATCCAACTGTCAGTCTGGATCAGACACTCGCTGCTCACTCAGTTTCACACGAGGACACAGACAGTTTTCAGTCATACATGCAGGCACGCACGCAGGCACGCACGCACGCACGCACGCACGCACGCACGCACGCACATACACACACACACGCACGCACGCACGCACGCACGCACGCACACACACACACACACACACTCACACAAATAGACACTCACACTGCACACACACATACACTCACACTGCACCCACACACACACACACACACACACACACACACACACACACACACTCACTCACACTGCACACACGCACACACAACACATTCAACTGGAGCTCTTAAAAGGCCCCAGGCTTGCTTGGACTTTAACATGCAACACACAATTAGGTTGCATATTCCCACACACACACACGCACAAACACACATGCACAAACACACGCATGCACGCACACACACATGCATGCACACACAGACACACACACAAACACACATACACAAAACTCTAACATACATACAAAAAACCATCAATGCATACGCACATTCACAGACATCCCTCGAATGTGTTTCTTCTTGGATATTTTTTTTCCCTTAAATTTGTTTCAACATTATAAAAAATGTGCTATCAGAGCAACATAACAAAAGAAAATGCCCACCATACAGTGATTTAACTGAAGGAATTGTTTGTCATTTGGTTTTCTCTTTAACAGAGGGACTTATAAAAAGATTGATATCACTCCTTAGTGGGATCTGTTAGCTTAGCTTAGCTCAGCAGAGTCAGTGGAAAAGGCTCAGATGATTCTGTCTGAAGTTAGTTATAAACATTTCAGTTTTTGTAATGTTTTGTATGTTTTGTATGGCGACAAGAACTTAGAAGAACAGTTTCAATCAAGGAAGTTAATGTTGTTATCTTCATGCAGTACCAGTCTGGCTATTTCTTTACATTTCCAGACCTTACTATTTAATATACAGATAAAATAGTGGTATTAAAACTTGGTATTGAACTCTTGGCAAGAGAGTGAAAAAGTCAGTTCAAGCTAAGATTAGATATAGTTGTAGCACAAATGTATTTTTAAATAAACTTACCACATGGAGGATCTTATTCTCCGTCTCATACACAGTGCAATCCTGTCAAGAAGAGAAGACAGAAAAATAGAATAAAACATGAGAGGGGTTCGAGCATCAATGTGAACATCCAGACACAAGCTCAAATATCTCCTCCAAATATAACAACCAGGAGAGATGGAAATTGTCCAACAGGAAAAAAAATAGATGACTTCCTTTTCAAGGGCAAACATCAACAGTCAGGTATTTAATTTCTAACTTTCCACATTATGAACAGTACTTCATAATCTAGGAAGACTTAAATACTAGATTGACTAGTTCTGGATCTATTCTGCAGCCTGGAGCTCCATGAGCCACCGCAGGATTTAGAAACGACATTATTTGAACATGACAGATTGTTATTTAACGATAGCTGATAGTTAATCTATTTCTGGGAAAGCAGCCCACTGAATCCACCAGATGTGCATGGTAGCAGCTAATTCATCTGTTTGATGCATTATTGCGGGTTTCACTGCCACCTTTGTCTGTCTCGCTGCAACCTGGCAACCACATGTTTATTTGGCCCATTGTGGCCCTACAGTGGCCCCTTCCTCCTCCCTCTCCTTTGGCCCTTGCAAGAGGGAATGGGTGTTATCTATGCGCCTCCAGGATTCACTCTGGGCACACATACAAACCCAACTCTGATACTCTCTAAGCAGCTCTTACAGGGAGGACATGGACGGGGTCCAGGAGAACAGGCATAGTTTCTGTCCAAACAATGAGATTTCTACAATATCAGAGTGTGTATGCATGTAGCTCCAGTTTTATTTTGTAAGAGTGTATATGTGTGTCGAAATGTGGTGAATCAACATGAGGGAGAGAGCCAGAGGGGGAGCAGACAGAGGACAGGAAATGAAGGGACAAAAAGACCCATGGTTCATTCTCCATCAGTGGCCATAAGTTAAACACAGGATGAGTCAATGAGCACTCTGCCTAAGGGTGTTACTGAGAGCTGCAGGTCCCGTCAGCCATGCTGCAAATAGCCTGTGGCAGTTGACACATGTTGAACTCATGATCTAATCTTTGGAAATGAGCTTCAGACCACAACAAGCTGAATCAATGATGACTGCGTGATGCATGCAGGCATCATGTGTGTGTAAGTACCTGTTGTACAATGGTTGTTAATTCTAGGCAGAGCTGCACAATGTTGTTCTTCAGTAATGAATACTCTGTCACACTGGCAAACGGAGACCTGAAACAGACACAAAAGAAAAAAGAGAAAGAGTTTATGATGAGGCTAATACATGTGAAACCATTGAAGATAAATTGAACATCAGTTGAACGTCTGATAAACGACTGGACATGATCTCATTCAAAATGTTGGTGCTGTTCTGTATCAACTTCTCCTGCCAGTGAGGGATTAGAAATTGGATAATGTCTTTCTTAAGGGTGGAATTGTATTTAAATCAATATGAGCACATCATATTCTATCTTTCTATCATGTTTGCGTTTGTAGGATATTCTGCTCATTTCATTTATTTGCTAACAGTGTGATCTAAAGCCGTGATAGGACAAGAGAAAAAGAGAAATAAAATCTGTTCTGTGCTCCACACAGAGCGCAGGAGCAGGTGATAAAGACAAACAACAATATTTGCCTTTCTATCATGGCCAGGAGGCTGTGAAGCCCAGGGATCTACTCAAGCTCGTCGTAACTTTATTTGTATTTGTCCTCAGCTACATACGGTTCCATCAGCTGTTCAAAAACCTCACCATAACAGCACACAACATACCCGGTTTTTACATCTAGGAAATCATTTGTTATTTGTCCACTACAGTGCGTCCCCTCAGTAGTGAAGAGGGTCAAAGATCAATACCACTCACATGTCTATCTGACAGTGAGCTTGCTGGCTTTGCTAGCTCACAAATGGTGCTAGGCAAAGCTAAGCTGCGTCTTGTTGAAGCTTAATACTTAATCAACAGATATAATGTGGGATTCCTCTAACACTCAGAAACAAGACAAATAAGCACATTTTGCACCTTTTAACAATCCTCAGAATATTAAAATATATGAAGATAAAGTAAGTCATCATCAGCCTGCATGGAAGGTGGTTGAAAACATTTATTCCAACAGTAAATGTAATGTACAGCTCTTATGTAGTAAAAGTAACTGGTTGTTCATTACAATTGAATTTGTATGTGTTATTTTTTGCAACATTCTTACTTGGTTGAACTTGAATTAACCAATTCCTAAATTCATTTGACTAACTGAGGTGTTGTCCCTACCTGTCCAGCCATGCTAGAAGGTTCTTGGCTGCTCCTATCAGATCGACCACCGAGGTGAGGAAGTCATTGGGTAACCTCCGAGAAGCTCGTCCATCGTAGTGTCCGCCCCTCCGCCGACCCAGGATGAAGTTCTGGAGGTTTTTCGCCGAAGCATTGAGCTTGTGGGACAACGTCCGGAGATTCTCTGTCTCGAGGCCGTAGTTCTAGAGGACAAACAAATAGATTCTGTTTAGAAGTAAAATCGCAGAATATTAATCAGCATTTCTAAAAGGAACCCAGGAGACCTTCAGACACCTATTCAGTCTTTATTCTCTGGTTTAAGAGTGACTAGGAGTATAGGCGTGTATTGTAATCAATGCTCCCAGATTATTTTTTCACCCATTATTTAACTACAATGACTGTGTCATGTGTGACCTACTGCTAGAACACATCTCTTGTAGTTCTCTCTTGTAGCATCTACGGCTGATCTGCTAACATGCTGTTTTTGCTACACAGGCTGTGCCTTGTGTTGTAAATTATAGTTTTAAGGTAACTTGTTGCAGATAATTGTTGTATCATAGGTCAAAGAAAAGGTTACAGGTAAAATATTAAAGAGTAAAGAAGAACTCTCACATCTATGTGTCAAGTCCTACTGAGCTGGAATTAGTAAGTGTTTAGCCTCAAGACTAAAAGCTGTGAGAAACAGCTAGCTCGACTCTCACCAGTGCTTTATATTAGATCTAAGATTAATGTTTTGTTCCAAAATTCAACACTTTAACACTATATTTTCTAAACAAAGGAAGTTGTTTCAATTACTGATTGTGGTACTGTAAGTAACAACAGGACCAGTGAAGCTAACACACTGGCTAACTCATTGTGGCACTGAGATTCAAGACAGTCACTTTACGCTACATCAAGAAATGCTACACCACAGGGCGCCAGCTTAGCTCGGATGTTAGAGCGAATGCTCCGAGTACAGAACCTGGAGTCCATGTTGCACTGGTTCAATTCAATTTCTGGACCTGATGCTACTCTGCACGTCATCCTCCACTCTTTCTCCCCATATTCCCTGTCTCTCTCAAGCTGTCATAGCTAATAAAGGCAAAAAGACCCCAAAAATAGTCTTTAAAAAAATGTTACACCAGAACACATCCTGACGTTTCTGTCAGTGCATGAGCCAAACAAGTAAAACATACATGTTTTACCTTTTTGAGCTAGCACAGCTAGCTGTCTCCCCCTGCTGCTAGTCTCTGTTCTAAGTTAAGCTAATAACCTCCCTGCTTCTCGTCTGATACTTCACACACGAGATATATTACTCTTCACATGTCAGTCTTGTTAAGGAAGCTCTAAAAGGAACAGATGTCAACTGCAATATAATTTCAATGTTTACAGCTTATGTTGCACATATGTGCTTTTATCTGTCCCCAAAAAATGTTGTTCCACTGGTTTGTTAAGTTGAACAGAAAAAAAGCATCTACCCTTATTACACAGTAAGTAGTTATTTTGAGCAAAGTGAACTGAAATTTTAATGACTTTTTCTGAAAAAGCCTTCAAATTCAGACAAAACAGCAACTCTCTTCACAAAATAAGAATACTAGGCCTGTTGAGTTTCCCATTACTGCACTGTGACCCTTTTAAATAAACACACACACACACACACACACACACACACACACACACACACACACACACACACATGCACAAACAGACCCACTGAGCCACATTGCTCAGTGTCCCAAGGCACCTACAGTCATGTCTTGCCTGACAGAGCCTGATTCCTGCTGACACAAAGGCTACATGCACATACAAACACACACATACACATCCCTGTATAGTGAGATGCACAGGCTTAGCTAGACATATCTATTCCTCCTCTGCCTCTAGATCTTTTCTACACAGTCACGACCGCAGTGACTACAAAGGAGAGAGGGTTTCACAGTGGCGATGGAGAGAGAAAGATGGGGGGCGGGGGGGGGAATTGAGGAAGAAGAGGCAGAAGACAAGAGGGAGAGGGAGAGGGAGAAAGAGAGAGCACCCAGCAATGAATATCACTGAAACTGGGTCATGCATACTCTGTTTTCTGTATAATCTTCTGTATCCTGTGTGAATGTAGATGTATACATGAAACAAGAGTGTACATGTTTGCACAGCTGTAATTAGCCTGTCCTATGATTCGATCTGTGCGTCTCTCTCCGGAGGACAGAGAGCTGAGATGAAGTGAGGGAATAATGCCCTGTGTCGGACGTCTGAATGACTTTGAGCGTGTGTGTGGAGAAACGGAGAAAAAAATAATTTGAGCAATGCGTGCATATGTGTGCCTGTGTGTGTCAAATCAATACAGTAAGAGGGCGATGCCATTAGAGCAACCACCCCTCCACCTTCAAGTCGATGTGGTTGCCATAGCAGCCATGTGTGGAGTGGCCTCTTCTCTATGCTGATATTGCTACCATTGTTCACAGATTCACATTCAGACATCGTTTATGAAATACTTCGATTATAAAAAAGGAGACTTCACCCTCTAATCCTTTTCTTTGCTAAAGTAGAGTATTCACCGTTGCTTCACTGCTCGGTCAGCTTTTGTAGACAGCTTGCACCAAAATGGACAGTGTCTAACATCATTAAGTACAGTATATATAGACTATGAGTGTCGTGCTTTCAGCTTGGAGGATCTGTGATAAACTCAGGAATATGATTTTTGTATGATGATGATTGTTTTCTTGCAGCAGGTTTTCTTTTTTACCCATTACACATGTTCAGCTACAATTCTCTTACACTTAGTGTTCGCAAACAAAGCACTGCCTTTTTCCACATAATGCATATAACAGGGCTTTTTACATGTTTTGATTTGTTTGGCACAAATGTTTTAATGAGACTGATGAAACATTGACATTAGTTTTTCTAGGCCAATCAGAGACAATTGTAAAAAGAGCATCAACACAGAACTTTCTGGGGACATAATGTAACTTTACATTCAACGCTCACTAATGCTTTCTTATCAGGAACAGAAGTACTCCCGTCTGATTAGCATTCAGGTTCAAATATAGATGAAAAGGATTTAGAATAGAAATGATGGCCAACTATTTAATAACTTTTACATAACCAAGAGGATTTGAGAAATCAAGTTTGAGTCAGACAGGGTAGCACTTGATAGAAACCAACATAGAAAGCTGACTAATATGCATGAAAGGACAAGATGACAGCATGAATCACTTTCCCAGAACAAAAGCAGAACAAGAGGAGAATTGGGACATATTCCAAACATAAAACAGTTAATTATCATAATGAAATGATGCCAACATATTTTAAGTTCAGACTTGCTTAAGACTTATTTGTATTGTAAGAGGATTTGACAAAGAGGCCGAACATCCTGTCAGTCTTAGTGGGTTTTCCTCCAGGTCCTCGGGTTCACTCTGTTTGGTCCAAACATTACACTGATTAAAAATACTAAATTCCTGATAGATGTGAAAGTGTTTGTGTGACTGTTGAGCTGCACAGGTTGTATCTGTGCCTTTAGCCAACTGTTATTTAGGAATTATGTCATTCAGCTTGTACCATCAGAGCAAAGGAAAATAAATAAGTGGTATAAAGTCTGACCCACTCTAGTTGAAGGACAGTGGACTTGGTTTTTAAATGAAACTTATTGAAAGACCTAGGGAGGAAGTTGTCCTTAAACAGAACCTATGGTGAGTATAAAGTGACAACCTGTATGATATATTTAACAAATAGGCATAGCCAGTGCTCAGCCAGGAAATGCCAGCTACAATATTATACAATACAACACGATGTCATGTATGATAAAATATGATAGGACAAGAGAAACCAAGATAACATAAGACAAGATAAGATGTATCTGCTAATTCTGATGGTGCAGATACAGTTACAGTCTGTATGATACATTATGATACAAGATACAGAAAGGCATAACCAGCAATTAGAATTTGAGTTTTACATCTTGCTACTGTCCTCCACTCAGCCAGGTTATGCCAGATACAATGCATTGCAATAAGATACATGATATGATCACATTTAGCTGCAGCCATGATAAATAAAATAATTGTGTCTGAAAGAAGCTGTAGTATTTATCTGCTTATACCATGTAAGGTTTAAAAGGTAATATTATATTATTGCAATTTATTGCAGTTTTGCTACAGACTCTGAATATCTGAGAAAGAAAGGGGCTATTTGGAGATCTCTTGTGTATTTTTTACAGAGTAAAATGCTTTTTAACTTCTTTTCTATAATACATTTATGTTAATGTCATTGTAAACGTATTCAATCCAGATTTTGGCTTGATCAACATTTTATTCTCAAGTTATTCCCGTTCCTCAGCACATTCAGCTGTCAAATCTCTGAACCCCCCTGAAACCTACTTAGCATAGTTGCTAGGGGCAAAAACGTGATTGTATAGACCTATAGACCTTACAGAAGGGACTTTCCACATTTACAACAAGGCTTAAAGCCCAGTCAGCGCTTGGAACTTGCATTGATCCAGGGTTACAGAAGCTCCCCATTTTAACTGCAGAAGGACCAGAAAAGCATTAACGGTTTGAGCCAGGGGAGCCGGGTTTTACTCTCCACATGATGCTTATATTGCTGACAACGGTTAACCATCCCATACTGAACTTTTAAAATATTCACAATATCCGCAGGTACTATAGGGCTGCACTTTTGTTGTTGTCTGGAGAGTACACTTAATGAGAGGAGGACGGTTGAGATTTGCTTTTCCCCTGAGGCAACCTTAAAGCATAATTCTGTCTTATTATAACTTTTTATAAAAGGGTCTCTTTTTTAAAGTTTGGGACGTCTTTCCTATTGATTATGAAAATGTTTTACTCCAAAAAACAGTGTGTATGGTCTCAGAACGATGCAGTTCAACAAAGTTACAACCAAGTTCAAGTAATCTAAAATGAGCAGCGGCATGATTAGTTTTAAAACGGCCAACAATAGAGAACAAACCATATGACGTATTTTATTAACACGGAAGTAGCATCGCGATGCGGTCTAACGAGAATTCAACAGGAAAACAGAATTCACCAGGAAAACAGAAAATATCTCTGTGGCAAACGCACGTTTATGAAGCGTAGGCGTTTTGTTCAGCAGGATAATCTTCACAGATGAACACCATTTTTATGACGTTTGAAGCGTTAATGCAGCCGACAGAAGTAAAAAGCTAACGTTATGCTACAAGCTAACTACACCCACGGTCGGATGATTGTGACGTCACTACCGTTATTCGTTAGGTGATCTCTGATAAACTAATCCATGTAGCTTAATAAATAGTTTACTAACATAATATTCACTTAACCTAAAGATTAAACCTACAGGAGACATCTCCGACTAGTGAGAGAGTTCCCGGCCTCTGTGTCCGGCGTGATGACGTTTAATGTCCCTGACAACCACTGTAGTCACATTTAGCCACTTGTTAGCAACCGCCTTTTTAAAGACGAGTAAAAACTTCAAAATTCACAAGTGGGGGTATTACCTAACGTAGTTTATGTGGTCTATCAAAACAGCAACATCTCTTAAACTTGTGTTAACCACAGACTAACCACAAACCCATTCAAAATCGATAGACCCCATGGCGCTCAAATGCTAACTTACTTCTGGGTTTTAGGACTCATTCCTGAGGCGATCTATTAAAGGCAGGGTTGGTATTTTCTGAAAACTAGCATGATTTTGAAAGTAGCATTCCCTCAGTGCTCCGTCTGCACCCACCCCCTCCCCTCTATGCTCCCTCATAAGCCACGCCCATCACTTGACAATTTTACTACTCACAACAGCTATCGACAAACTCACAGAATAAACTCTGTCATCGGTGACAGGGAGACAGGGAGGCGTCTGATTGGTTCATCAGATTGGTACCTTGTGGCAGATATTGGTCGACGTTTATAGAGGCTTACAACTGCTGCAGATGACAGATTTTCTTTGTTCGTTTTTCAGAGAACATGAGTTATTAACTTCTGTCAGAACCTAAAGACAATTTCAACCACAATCTTAAAAAGTGTATCTGGAGAAAATTACCAAACCTGCCATTAAGTCAGAAGGAATTTACCCAAAATAGAAACAAATAGTCAACTTAACTTTGCCCATGAAAATTGTTAGAATACACAAAACCTATAGGAAGTTTGACTTATGAAGGCACGCTTTAATTGATGATTGTTGACAGTTTGGTTGATATTTTTCTGCTGACCTGGAAATTCCTTTCAAATTTAATCAGCCGAGTAAGGATTTACTGTAAACCTTTTACAATTGGCTCATGATTTCTCTCCAACTGCTAACGTGTTTTCAAACCACCCAAACACATCTCACCAATCAGCTTGTAGAGAGTAGAGTTAATCTTGATAATAGGAAAGATAGCACTACAAAACTACAAAGGGTAAAACTTGAGGTGTAACACAGATATGACGCCTAGCAGCAGTGTGAGGGACACATCTTGTAGACCTGGAATCCCTACATATGTGTGGTGTGTGTGCACATTTATGTGTGTGCAGAAACATATGGAGATTGCTGCTCTGGGACACTCACCCTAATGCTGGAACGTTTGAATGAGGAGAGATGCTGATTAGCACACACACACACACACACACACACACACACACACACACACACACACACACACACACACACACACACACACACACACACACACACACACACACAACACAAGCATGGGGCGCCCACACACACTCTCTCACACATTTAAACAGTCCCAACTAATCCAGCCATGTGTGCCTGGGAGATAAGATGCATCCTGCATACTCTTTCTACATACTCTCTCTCTTTTCCCTCTCACTTTTACTTCCTCTTCCTCCCTCTCTCTACCTCCCTCTCTATCTATCTCGCTCTGGGAGAGTAGCACCTAATTCCCCCTAAATCCCTAATCCTGAGCATGGCCACAGCACAGACAGTCAGCAGTGACCGAGGAAGTACACACAAAGTAGGAACAAAATGACTTCTCGAGCCATTTCTTTAGTTGATATCAATTACTGGTCGGGGAAAATAAACAACCACATATATAGAAAGCCTTCTACCTGTGAAAATGTCTTCATCCAAAAGAAATGTATTCTTTGAATTTTGGGGAACCACACAGGTTTTTCTTTAATTACACTAATGTTAATTACTTGTTCGTACATAATGGCTGCACAGTGGTGCAGTGGTTAGTGCTGAGGAGGTTCAGAAAGGGCCTCTCTGTGTGGAGTTTGCATGTTCTCCCTGTGCATACGTGGGTTCTCTCCAGGCGCCCTCCCACAGTCCAGAGACATGCTGGTAAGGTTAATTGGGGACTCTATAGTAGTATGGCTGCTTGTCTGTCACTATATGTCAGCTCTGTGATTGACTGGTGAACAGATGCTGGTCTAATGGCGGATGCTGGGGCTGAGTGTGGTTTGAAATAAAATAACTAAGCTGAATATGATCCATGACTTTTAGCATCAAAAGCAAAAACGTTTTTTTTTCATTAGACATCTTAGATTTTTGGCACAAAACCTAAAACAGCTGTAGCAAAAAACTGCCTGAATAATAAGGTCTAAACTTCAGCCTTACACTTGGAAATGGACCATGTCCTGAACTGATATCCATGTGCCGAACAACGATAATGGGTTCATCACCCATTCATGTCAGAAACTGCCCTAATGGAAAGCGATAGTAGTAGGGAATAAAATATGTTCTTGGCATGTAAGCCATCGATTTATTTGTGACCGGAGTGTTCTGTAAAAGGTCCAACATATACATTACATTGTAAGACGGATTAAAGTAAAACCCATTAATTGTAAAAATCACACTCAAAAAGCAAATGAGATCGTAAAAAGAACAGCAAAAATAAACATGAAACGACACTTTACTAAATCTTACACAACCCTAACACGCCCTCCTCCCAGAGCATGATTTACAGCTTCAGTAAGTGACAGCAGCAGACTGACCAGAGCACAGAGGAGGTCGACAGCTTCCAGGATGAGCTCTTGATGTCCTATTCTGGTGACACCCAGCTCCTCCAGCTCCTGATGGGTGATGTGCAGCAGCTGTTCTCCCCCCATTTGCTCCCTTTCGAAACTCTTCACGTACTGCTGGAGACAGTCGTCCAGACCTGTGGAGAGCATGGACACATGGGTTAGCATGCATCTATCTATTATCACTGTGTGCGATCACCAGGTTTGATTTTTCTAAATTGAAGGACCAATTTGGGTTTTAGAGGGATTCCTGTACCTCCAGAGACAAAGTGGAGAAAAACAATAGGAGGAACTATTGATGATTGGCTGAGAGAAATACAAAGGTGAGTTCATATCTGCCTTGAATCCTTGTCTACTTAAATGCCTCACATAATGCAGTTATCAGGGCAGATAGACACCCACACAGAAACACACAATGTGCTTTGTTTTGACTTTTTATAGAAACAAAAGCTTAACACTATTCTGAAGACGGGATATTCCTGGATGCTTAATTGGTAGCTAGCTGTCACCTAGAAATCATAGCTGTTGGTTTGGCTTTCCAATACCTTGTACATCATGCGGTAATACGATTTCCTTTGATGTTGCTTTTTTTTGCACACAAAATAAAATAGAAAACAATGTATTCTTAGTGTCTTCAGAGTTTGAAGTCAAGCTCATTTTCATGCACATTGTGAGTGATTAAGGGTGTGTCCAAGACCTGCCTAGAAAGATGTGAGTAACATATTGACGTCTGAGTCGCTGCTGTAAAGCTGTGGCCGCCTGCCATGCAGAGAGCCAATCAGCTGGACTTAGACGTGGTGGGGTCCGGGATACTATTGATCAGTACCAGCCTCAGGCTTTAAACCAAACAAAGTCAGCAGAAAGCGCACGTCCCCACAGACCTAATGAACAAGCCTGCTCCAAAATGAACGCACACACACACACACACACACACACACACACACACACACACACAGACACACACAGACACACACAGACACACACACACACACACACACAGAGCAAATACGCATGAGAGGAAGTAAATCTATACACACATACACACACATGGAACCAAGGAAAAACACAAACAAACTACACCTTTCTCTCAGTGAACACACGCTTCAACACAATCACACAAATACAATTACAACTGCTGTTGTTATTCAGGGTCTCAACGCCCTCTGCGGAGGCATGTTGTTAAAGCCGAGTGGAGCTGTGAGGAAAACACTGATGCCCAAGGGAAGCGATGCTGACAGAGAGCAGACAGTGTGGTAGCACCTTAACAGTCCCCCCCACACTACACACACACACACACACACACACACACACACACACACACAGTCTAAAGAATGAGCAAAAGGCATCATGCTCTCCTTATGGGACACAAGAGACAGAATAAAAGCGTGCTGTTGCTCTGAGTGACATGGACAAACAATCTTGTTGCATACGACACAGAAGAGCCATGGTAAGTCTAACACATCAATAAGAGGCTCTGTGGCGTAACAAGTCAAAAGAGTTTATATAGAATTCATTCCCTATGGGCAAACCTTCATATCACACATGTTGGAATGAATCTCAGTACAGTGTAATCTCACCCAAGGTTGATGAGATATCATACTTAGAGAATATCTAAGAAGTTGTTAAAAATGTGTTAATGTTTAGAAAATGAACACTTGGTGACAATGTCAGTACGTACTTCCAGGAGTGTGTGAGTGTGTGTGTGTGTGTGTGTGCACTTTGAAGAGCTGCACTTTGATTCAACTTTGAAGAACTCTACTTTAGAGTTCATGTCTACTTTGTTTACTCCCCTGCGAGTCAAATGGAAGTATAAACACTGTCACATTTCACTGATATAAGTAGTTATGAAATACTTTAGAAATTATAATTTTACATGACGTACAAAAGAAATGATGATGAGTTTTGAAGATGAAATGTGTTTCTGCAGATTCGACTTTTTAAGTGAACCTTCACCTCGACCAACCAACACTGGGAAAAGGGTATGATTAATGAAGAGTAGGGGGGAAAATATCTTCTATACATAGCTGTATTTCTTATCTCAGTTCTATGTTTCTGATGTGAAATAATCTGTGATTAAGCCTCAGCAATATAAGTTACTGACAATTCAGAAATCCTTAAATAACAGGTTGAGATTGAATTTTATACAGAGGCATACAAACAAAAACGGATAAAAAATGGTAATGGTCATTTTATGAGGTAATCATGTGTACATTTCATGTAAAATATGTTTAAAAAAATTGTCATGCTTAGGGGAAATTTAAGTTTAAAAAATGTAGCATAACATATGGTCAGTTAGGACAGAAAGGACTAAAGATGGTGGTTAATCATCACCTGGAAGAATCAAATAAAAGGCTGATATATTGTCCAGCCAATATCTGCACAATTCATATCAGCTTCACTTGAAATAACTTTATTTACCTGTTAGGAACTTCAGTTGTAAAAGAGCATCAGTGTGCACACAGCACAGAACACAAAACAACCAAAACACGCATGTACGCATGCACACACGCACACGCACGCACACGCACGCACGCACGCACACACACACACACACACACACACACACACACACACACACACACACACACACACACACACACACACACATAAAAGTGCAATATGTGTCTATGGAGACCCCTAAAGTTACTTATAGTCACCTAAATTCTGTACTCAACCCTCCTGCTACCCAAAAATACTAACATCTTTAATCCTTGGGATCAATTTGACCCCAGCAATTTAAACCTCCACTACCTAAATAATGTATTAAGTTCGGGGTCAACCCCAGGAAAAACAAACACAATCTAAAGAAGTTAGATGGATTTAAATAAGCTAAAGCTTCAGTTGAAAGTATTTATTCTTGTATAATCTTTATTTTAAGAAAAAATATAAAACGGCTCAATTTGACCTGACTTTGCATCCTGCTTAAACAGCCTGGGGTCAAATTGACCCCAAAGAACACCGATGTGTACAACATGTGTGTACAGGACATTGAAAACATATCATCATGCCAATTTTATGTTGTCCCCATTAAATTAGGAAAAGTCATTAAATATGAAGCCAAAAAAAGATGTCAATCATTTCTTTAAAGACATTAGACATTGAATGGGGTCAAATTGACCCCAAAGATAATAGGAGGGTTAAGTTAATGCGCCGCATGTCTAAGAAATGTTTGAATTTTTTAAACTGCACAAGTGAAGTCATGTTCTCTCACGTGATGAATTATCTCTGCGTGGGTCTGTTAACTTCTCCTTCAATTGTTGTTTATCCTCACACCCAGACTCAGTTCAGAAATCAGTGCTATTAAATTCCAAACAGCTCTGCCTTCTTCTGAATAAAGATCTTCTTGCTGACTAATTCTTGAATGAGAGTAAGTACACTGCTACTTTCCAGCATTATATTTAAATGAGCTCCTTTTCATTCCTTTCAATGTAACAATGTTTATTTCAGATGAATAACAGTGTAGTGCAGTCTATGAATCATCAGCAGTGTTGGCAGAGATATGAACAAGTGGACTGAACGTGCAGATCTCTGTAGCTGGCCAGCAGCTATGGGAGCGGAGACAGCCATGCAGAGATCACAGAGGCAGAGCCGAGGAAGCCCTGCAGCTGATAAGGAGGATTTCTGAATATGAGAACTCCAACCCTCACTAGAACAGAGATATGAGAGAAATAATATATAAAAAAAAGACGTGGCTACTTCTCAAAATGGAAGTCTTTATACCCTTACCAATACATCCTTTTTTTTTTCTCTGCAAAATCATCGGCTGCAGATATTCTCTTTTTGTAAAGTGTCTTGAGACAACGTTTGGTACGAATTGGCACTATATAAATAAAGGTTGAGTGATTGAATGCATCTTACTCTTACATTTGTCCTTCTACATTTACAACAATAAAACGAGTCTGAAACACAGTGGCTTGTTTCCTTCATATCAAAATATAAAGTCTAAATATATTTGCCAAATATTATCATTGCACATCTTAGATTGTCTGCAGGTGGAAAATGTCACTCTTATTATTCTAGCCATGAAATCTGTTCTCTTCCTGGTGTCTGTTTATTAATAAATGCAGCTAGTGTAGTGGTGCCTGAAGAAGTGGATATACTCTTAAATTTCCCCCCAAATGATTTGTACTCTTTAAGTGACCCGTCCAGCAGAGGATGAACGGACTCTGTCATGAACAGTTACATGTTAGACTACTCTCTACATATTTAGTTAGTATGTACTAGCCAATTAGAGACAGATTAGGGAGGATCATCCCTTCACCCTGCACTACTTCACTGGATGCACCTTTTCCCCTCTCTCCACCTGTAGTTGTATCAAGAAATGATGAATAAAATAAAAATACAAAAAGAGATCCAGGATGATTTTAACTGCTTATCTGGCAAACTGCAATATCACTATGTGTATGTAGCTCTCCGACATCGACATGAATGGGTTACCCAGGTGACTGAACTACATTTAGCACCAATTCTCTTTAATGTCAGAGACATGTGACTTTGTTTTTTTTGCACCCAGTATATGTGAATTATTACTCACTCGACTGGGCTGGCACATGCATAGAAATGCAGATGGACACAAAGAGACATACGTTACAATCACACATATACATACACATGTTGACACACAGCTGCCAGCCAATGAGATGAGTCAAAAAGCCTCCCCCTTGAGGACTAACAGCTGATCTGGGTTCATCTGCAGAGTTCAAATGTGCAGCTGGAAATAGCACATGGTGCCCCGAACACACACACACACACACACACACACACACACACACACACACACACACACACACACACACACACACACACACACACACACACACACACACACACACACACATTAACTAAAAGATAGAGGTCAGCTTTGATGGTACTCACTTCTCCAGACAGTTATTAAAGTGATAGAAGTTATTTTATCTTCAGCAACAAATATTTTCTTCCTGCTGTCTATTCCCTCGTCATATGCAGCAGGAGGCGTAAAAATGGACCTCTTACTCAAGTCGGCCCTGCAGTATAATAAGAATCAAACAAAATCCCAGCCTGCATGCATTTGAAATAAACAAAAAGTAATTTTGCATGAGCAATATGGCACAAGTGGCTCTCTGTGTAATCAAGTCAGAAGCTTACTCTGGTTTCCCCT